AGACCAACGCATCTACAATTTCGACAATGCCCAACCCCTCGGGCGGAACGGCTCGTGCTTCTGTAGCATGAGTACCCACGGTGAGAGTGGTGACACTGGGGTTCTTCTCGTCAGTCTGAAGGCGATTCGCCCACCGGAAAAGGGCTTCATCGCCGCGGGCTCCGCCTGCCACAAACAAAAAGTCCGGGATCTGGTCCAGATGCTGCAAGACGGTATCGGCCGCTTTGGCTTTCGTCATATCCAAAGGTTCAACACTCACTGCGCCCTCGGTGAGGACCACGCGGATGGCTTCACTGCCGCGGGTGCCGTTGATCTGATCGGCAAGGCCGGAAGCCTGGCGGGCGGCCGCCTCAGGGTCAAGCGCGTCGTGATACCAGAAATTCAGCAGGCAACGGCCTTCCTCCATCTCACTTCCTTCAACTCGTTCGTGGTAGTATTGAATCACCTTGCGAATGCCATTTCGCCAATCTTTGGCCTTCTCCATGTCTACAAGTGTCACCCAGTCGGAGTTTCCAATTTGTCGTACAAAACAGCCGTTCTCGGCAATGATTCCAACTTTGGTGGAGAGCGGCTCGAGCAGGAATTCGAGCTGCTCAGGACTCTTGCTGCTAGTCACATATACCAAGTTCCTTGGATCCTCGAGTAAGCGCTGAAGCAGAGGCACCAAGTTAGCAGGCCCTCCATGGCTGGAGGCGACTATGCCCTCAATTTCCAAGAAGAACAGTCGTACGGTGGACTCGTCGTACGCGCCTTTCACGGGATTGAGCGAAAGAGGCTTTACCTGGCTGAGTTCACGGGATAATTGTGCGCTGTGGGCTTTGGTCAGTGAGGCCTGGAACGAGTTGAACCAGGCAAGTGCGGTGTGGGGAGTCATCTTTTCTAGCAGGAACTCCCAGTTGCGCTGTTTCTGCTCCGCGGTCATCTCAAAGGCTTGGTTGATTGTGTCGGCAACCTCCTTGTAATCCCATGGATTGACCATGAGCTCGTGACCGTTGAAGATCGACGCACTTCCAGTAAACTCACTCAGAATGAGGGAGCCATGGCGCTGCCCGGTCAAGATTCCATCTTGGCAGTGAATGTAATCGTGACTACTGAGGTTCATACCTTCTCTCAGACTAGTGACCATGAAGATCTCAGCCACGCTCATGAGAGCCAAGAACTGAGAGTAACTGATGTCTTGGCGTAGGAAAACCAGTGGCTGATGAGTCAAACTCGAGTAGACTGAGTTGATGCGCATGGCTATCTTTGAGACTTGCGCCTCTAACTCTGGCAGTTCAGAGGCCGAAGCAATTTGAACAAGGACGACCTGCTCGAGTTAGAACCTAGTCTCTGCATTCAGTAGACGTCAAGCATGTCAACATACCTTGTCTCTCCACTTGGGGTATTGCTTCAGGAACAGCTCATAAGCCATGAGCTTGTGTTTAATACCGCCGGGAGCATCCAGTCTGTCTCGAGCAACAATCAAGTGCTTCCCCTTGTACCGGGAACTGATATTGGCGATCCAGTCCTTGACCTCGGTTGATCTGCGGAGCAGATCGAGAGCTTTCGGATCGACTCCAATCGGCATGTTTCTCACGTTGACAAATCTCTTCTCCAGCTGGACACCATCGACGGACACCTCCAAGCCGAGCAGCCGAATGCATGACTGGAGGAAGTGGTAGCAATATTCCTCCGTCTGGAATCCGACGAGATCGGCGCCCAATAGACCATGAAGCAGCGCATCTCGGGCATTGAGGCACCGGAAAATCTCAGAAGAGGGGAAGGCAGTGTGCATAAAGAACCCGATCTCCGCATTCGGTAGCCTCTCGCGGAGCATGGATGGGAGCAGCAGAAGGTGATAGTCATGGATCCAAATGCTATCCCCTGGACGCCAGTAGGCAGCAATCTTGTCCGCAAAGGCCTCATTGACCCTCACATACTGCTTCCAGGAATAATCATCATACTCTGTGTGTCGAGGACTTTCTTGCATCTGATAGTGGAAGGCAGGCCAGAGGACGGCACGGCAAAAGTGAGTGTAATGGCCCTCAAACTCGCTGTCATTGACGAAGACTGTCAAAGACTCGAACTCGTCCTCGAGGGCCTCGGAGATACTAGCCCGAGTCTCATCCTTTAACGAGTCGGTGGGCATGCCCAAGGTCCCCACCCACATCTTGTCTGTCAGCATACCGGCTTCTTCGGCAGCATTGATGGCATTGCGCAGGCCACCATTGCCCTGCTCTGCTGCTTTGACCACCCAATCCATCTCGGAAAGAAGGGCCCGCGGGCTGCCATGCTCTTCCTCGGAGCTGATAGCATCCAAGGGAGCATCAAGATACGGCGGGTTGTCTAGTTCATCGATCTCAGGACGACTAAGGATGGAAGGCTCCGGGTATAAAGAAGCCTTGGAGCGTGGCTGGTTGAACTTCCGGCTCTGGCCCCAAGAGACCGTGCGAGGCTCACTAGGGCCGGGACCGTTGGGGTCATCTGCCGCCGGGATCTCTCCCGCAGATCGGGAGATGTATGGCTTGAAGATCTTCTCATCCTCAGTGGTTGCCCCTGGTGTATATAGACTGATGCTTTTCGAATGGCGCTTCCGATTAGTATCTGCCAAGCGTCCTACAATCTTCCCTTCTCCTTGAGAGGAGCTGCTGGACGATTTGCGGCGAGCATATCTCAGCTCGGTGGCTTGGAAGTTGATAGTGTATGGAAGGAAGCTATTCGGCGTTAATAAAGTACAACGGGCTAGGTAGAGAAGGGAAAGGCATTGACGTACAGTGAAGCAATGAAGACCGTCATTGCGACAGTGTGTGTATGCCTTGAAGCAGGAGGTGTATTCTAGAAGGTCTTTGTGACACCAAATGGAAGTCTTGTAGACAGCAAGGAGGGATCCAGGATCAGCGGGGCCAGAAGGCTGAAAAGAAAATAGTGGAGCAGTGGAGCAAATCAAAGAGTCCGTGATGGGTGGAAGGAAAGAATTAGGAGGGAGGGGTGGACTGCAGCGACAAGACTCGGACCTAGGGATGTTTTTAAGGCTGCAGTGGTGGTGGAGGTGGAGGTGGAGGGAATGATTGCTGAGGATAGAGTTGAAATACGGATCAAAGCGAGGGAAGAGGACAATGGATAGGTCTTTAAGTCACACGAGGATGAATGAAGAGAGAGTGGATGACCCTGAAAATCCCGGGTGGATGCGCGAGAGAGAGAGCGAGAAGGAGAGTGTGCGAGTGTGAGTTAGACACCCGAGCCATGCGCAGAAGGAAGAAGCAGTCAGTGGTGACGTCCATGATTGATGGCTATTGATTGGCCCAGGACCAGGGCACCTGTCAAAACCCGCGGGGAACGGAGCACATGCAAGGCATCAACTACTAGACAGGAACATTCTGGCCTTTTCGTGCGTGAAGGAGGGGTTTGGGCAGGTTTTTTCCTCGTCTTTTTTTCCATTTTCATTTAATTTCTTGGTATCTGTTTTTCTCCAATTTCCGTCTTCGGCCTATGTGTCTATGTGTGGTGGCCTTGGGCAGAGATGAGCTGTGCACGGAGGCACTCAAGACGAAGGCAGAAGGAGGGGGAGGGGCAAAGAATCGAAAGCAAAAGAGGGGAAATGGAAGCCCGGGAGGGGAAAACCAGGAAGATTCTAGCCCATTGAGTGATTTTATTTTCCTTGCTGTTTCTTTTTCTTTTTCTTTTTTGTTTCAAGGCTGGCAAAACCAGCCATCACAGTTGCAAACTATCAGATCACAAGCTCATAACATCAATTGAATATCAAAGAATCCCACCGATCTAGCTAGATCGGGAGAGGAGGCACTAGACGGGGAGTAAAACTTGCCTGCAGCACGGTCTGCAGATAATCAGTTCGACTATCCCTTAGTCTAGTTAGCTTGGGCTGGAGGAAGAAACAAAGAGACCAGGGAAGTATAGAAACGGGCAAAAGCCAATGAGAACAATGACGTTGAGGTTCCCGTGGGATCCGCAACTGATCCACCCGCGGCGTTTGGGCGACGGTTCGAGACAGTTCGACCACCACCGCGTGCCCGGTTTGGTCAATCTTGGTCCAGGTTGGCATCACCACTGCTTACCACTCACAGTCGCACCCTTTGCACATGGATTCGAGGGTTGGTTCAGCAAGAAGGAATTGCACGGGAAAAATAGGAATGGGTCACAACAAGGGGGGTGAAGATGCTGGTAGGTACTTGATAAGAAAATAAGAGAGAAAGAAAGAGAGGAGGGGCAGATGATAGAGGGGGGGAAAGGCGGACAAGCAAGATCGATAGTAACTAGGAAACCCTACAGTACCCTTTCATGGAGGGGCTTGATGAGGCGGTGGTGAAGTAATAACCAACCCAACAATAGTCTACACACTATTATTATTGTTCTGCCAGCCATAACTTAAGAAGTGGAGCTCTTCTTGATTGTTGTGTAGTGTGTACACCAGGGAAACCAAAATTACCACTCTAATCCTCTTCCAAGCCCTGTTCCTGATCTTTATCTCGGTCTTGCCCTTTCACTTCCCCGATCGTTTCTCCCTCTCTTCACCGATACGAAGCCAGGAAATCATCACCACCTCTTCTTCCGTCTCCTCTCCCCTCTCTCCCTCTCTCCCTCTCTCGCCCTCTTGCTCTCTCCATTGCATTATATTACTCTTCCAATTTCTCCTTCCTATCGCTAGACCCCAATTGACCTCCCTCTTGTTTTTCTTGTTCCCATTCCCATCCAAGCTCTCTCCAGATTCGATCAAAAAGAAGAAAAGCGGGGCACAACATCTCCTAGCTTTCCTAGCTTCTCTCCCACCTTCAATTCTCATTTACCTGATTCAGATTGAGTGTCAGCTGTCATGGCCAGCGACGATGCTTCACAGGGCGATTCCCGCCTGTTGATCGTCTCTAATCGGATTCCGATCACCATTCGACGATCGGCAGGAGGGAAGTATGAATTTTCCATGTCCTCGGGAGGATTGGTGACAGGATTGAGTGGACTCTCCAAGGCGACGACTTTCCAGTGGTATGGCTGGCCCGGACTGGAAGTGCCTGAGGATGAGATTGAGTCGGTGACTGCGCGACTGTCGGATGAGTTCAATGCGACACCAGTCTTCATGGACGACAAATTGGCGGATCGTCACTACAATGGCTTCTCCAGTGAGTCGCTGCCCTAATCACCCGCCCCGCGTCTTAACCTACCCCTCTTCTGCTGCTGTTGCTCCCGTTGCTGCGGCGGCGGCTGCTGCTGCTGCTACCTACGGCTCCTTCTGCCCCTCCCTGGGCATTTTGCCCGCATCTGATATGCGTCTGCATATTTCCCAGCTTCCGCGATAGCCACATGGCACCTGGCAACAGGCGCCCCTCCTCCCACTTCCCACTTCCCACTTCCCCCCTCCAATCGGTCACCATGACTAACGTGAGCTGTCAGACTCTATTCTTTGGCCACTGCTGCACTACCACCCCGGTGAAATCGTGTTCGACGAAGCGGCGTGGGATGCCTATCGTGAGGCGAACCGGCTCTTCGCTCGGACCATCGCGCGCGAGGCTCGCGACGGGGACTTGGTTTGGGTCCACGACTACCACCTCATGCTCCTACCGGAATATCTCCGCGAGGAGCTTCACGAGTTGGGCAAGAAGAACATCCGAATCGGATTCTTCCTGCATACCCCCTTCCCCAGTAGCGAGATTTACCGCATCCTGCCCGTGCGGAGTCAACTCTTGCGCGGCGTGCTGCAGTGTGATTTGATCGGATTCCACACCTACGACTATGCGCGTCATTTCTTGAGCTGTTGCTCGCATATCTTGTAGGTCACCATTATTTTGCTTCCCACTCGGAGGTCCCGTCTGTCGCACGCTAACCGGGCGCCGTAGGGGATTGGTCACCACTCCGAGCAGCGTGGAATTCAAGGACAGGTCGGTCGCCGTCGGCGCATTCCCCATTGGCATTGATCCCGACAAATTCACCGAGGGTCTCAAGAGTCCCAAGGTGCAGAACCGGATCGCCAGCTTGGAAAGCAAGTTTGAGGGTACCAAGCTGATGGTCAGTGTCGACCGCCTGGACTATATCAAAGGTATCCCCCAGAAGCTGCATGCTTTGGAGGTCTTCCTGTCCCAGCACCCGGAATGGGTGGGCAAGGTCGTTCTGGTGCAGGTTGCCGTCCCGAGTCGTCAGGATGTCGAAGAATATCAGAATCTGCGCGCGGTGGTTAACGAGCTAGTGGGAAGAATCAACGGCAAATTCGGTAAGTTTATGTTTTTTTTTCTTCGTTTACCCATGACCGTGATAGATCGTGTCTGGATAGCGCAACTGTACTAATGCACAAAATCGCAGGAACGGTGGATTACATGCCCATCCACTTCATGCACAAGTCGGTGAGCTTCGACGAACTCATCGCGCTGTACGCCGCCTCGGACGCGTGTGTGGTGTCGTCGACCCGCGACGGAATGAATCTCGTTTCGTTCGAGTATGTCGCGACCCAGCAGAAGCGCAAGGGCGTGTTGATTCTCTCCGAGTTCGCGGGTGCCGCGCAGAGTCTGAACGGCAGTATTGTCGTCAACCCGTGGAACACGGAGGAGCTGGCCAACGCATACCACGAAGCGGTCTCGATGACCGACGATCTGCGTGCGCAGAAGTTTGAGAAGCTCTACAAGTACATTACCAAGTACACGAGGTAAGCTTACGTGGCCCCCTCCCTCCTTTTCTTCAAACAATGAGACGATCTTCCCGCCCTGTCTTCTTCTCCTACTCCCTTGCCTTCCCGCGCCACGCATGGAGGAAACCCAGACCAGATTACTAATCGTGGTTTCACACTGATGTAGTGCATTCTGGGGCAAGTCTTTCGTCGCCGAATTGTCCAAGTGCTCGACTGCAAATCCGGATGCTTCTTGATGAACGATCTCCTGTCTATTGGCCTATCTTCCCTTTTTCTTTTTCTTTGTCTTCTTCGGTCAACCCTTGGCATGCAATTCAATTTGGTACGACTCCGGCGCACGAGTGAGCATTTCACTATTATGTTTGATAGATTTAGCAGCAGCAGCCTTCACCTTTGCAAAGCACATGACATAGCATTGAATATAGGACAGAAACATTGGACCTGAAGAACAATGATGAATCTGGAACACCGACATGTGGCAAGCCACCGACCTCAGGTATGAGTAAGAGTACAAATGCCTAATCAAGAGATCAAGTCCACCAAACAAAAATTTGGATCTTCCACGTCCAATGTGTAGTTGCCTATCCCTTCTGTCTGGATGAGTATGTAAACTCTTATCGCGGAATCAGGGACTACCCTTCACTCCAACAAATACGTCATCCATCCACGTCAACACATTACAATGTACGAGTACATCTAATCTCGCCCCCTGCCCTGACCTTTGCCCTTGCCCCCGGCCTTCACATCCACACCCACTTCACCCACCCCCACATAGGTAGGTAGATCAGCAATCAAGCTCAAGCTCCATCAAGCGCAGTCCGAAACAAACAGCACCCCTACCCTCTAGATTTTCTACCACAAGGATATTACACAACCATTCCGTCGATGATATAACACGCCTTCCTATTACTATAACACAACAAGTAGTACGGAGTACATATAGGTAGGATCAACAACTGTGTAAGTTGCTGCTTAATACGAATAAATTAAGCCCACAATCGTTAGTAACGCACTCACCCATGACTTCACGATGACATATCGCCCGAACAACGGGTATTAGGACGGGCTTCGGATCGTATGGGTTTTACATATAGAGCCCCCCCACGCCATAAGACAAGAGAATGGCCCTGAGGGTCTAGAATTTGCTTGCACTGACCGGACTATGGTTACATGCACACTCAGATATCCTCGTGTGTTTTGTTTTGTGCAATAGTAGCACGATGGGAGATATTTATTTTAACACTTGGTTATAGATAAGAAGATACCCATCAACAATCTGTTTGAAAGAGAACTCATCGACTGAGCATTACATTGCGCATTTACTGGAGAACCTTCTAGAAAAGACATGTATTTATTGTAGCTGAGTACTCATACATACCCTCTTCTGGAAGAGGGAAACTTGACTCCTCCATATACTCATGCCTGATGAGTAGACGAGAACTAAACTCGGAATTATCCAAACAAGGTAATTCCGAACGTCCCGTTTCAACTTGCACCCGGGAACGAACCCCACCGACCCCTCAGCTCATCTCTCACGTGCTTTCAGCTTCGCAACAGAAAAAGGGTCCTCAAAGTTTCATCAATTCTCGTGAGCGGCCCCGGAGGTGATGACTAACCAGGACATACGTAATCACGAGTCATGGCGAAAAGAAAAAAAAAAGTCAAGCTTAATTCTTAGGGGGAGAGGTTGGAACTAGTCCCGTTGAAGATCCCGTTTTTCCCTCTCTGATCCGTTCGTGATCACGCATTGTCGCTAATATTAGCAACGGACATACTCTTTAAATTGATATACATATTATATCTACTTCAATATGGAGAAGATGAAGAGACAAAAAGAATTTGGGAGTCAACGGTTGTACGAATAACTCATCAGTTGGTTGTCGCTTAATCTTGCTACAATGTCGAAAGAAAATAGAAGAACAGGGTATAAGGTTTATAATCTCATAAAAGCCCAAACCAGGCCCAGACAAATTACCTACTCCAGAATGAAAAAGAAGTCAACTTATGGTCACGTATGATGCGATGCTTTCTGATCAGGGGAAATATTCGCCGCCCCCCGACCAATTTTCTTCCAGGGTCTGGCCGCCATGGACCCCTACTCAAGGTCTCTGCTGTCTTGTGCTGTTGAACCATTGGCATTCGGCATGAGAGACACTTCTAACCTACTCCGTAGAGGGATCTACCCCCTTCCTTCATGGATGGCAGGGTCAGGGACCACTAAAAGTCAAAAATTCGAAGAAGCAGAGGATGACCAGATCTCGACACCTTTTTTTTTTTTTTTTCCTTCCCCGGTGCTCATGGGATTGCGAGTCATTTCATCAACAGAATTCTCAATTGAAGGGCCAAGTTCTCCCATTCGTTTTAACCTTGCCCTTGGCCAGGCCCCGCCAGGGTCTAGGGCAGATTTGTGGTTGACAGGCACCTTGGGAGAGGCTCACGGAAGGGGTTTAGCGGGATGGGGTCTTCCCTTCAAGGCTTCAGGCTCCCAAAGTTCCCTCGGACCTTCAGCCAGATCTTGTGCCATGCCAAGACGGACGCTTGCGCGTCTCCGCCACCATGACGTCCAGATTAGGAAGGATGCCGTAATCTGTTACGCCGGGCGCTTTGAAATTGCTTCCAAATCGAGTTGGCCCAGAGAAAAGGGTAAAGGGAAAAGGGCAAAGGGGAAAGGGCAAGGGAGGCTGTGGCAAGAAAGTCTGGAGGGGTTCCTGCACCTTCAATCTGTCGGTCTGTACGGCTGTCGGCTTGGTCGGGCCGTGCGACCATGTTGCTCAGCTTCCTCTTTCTCTCTCTCACTCTCCGGGGAAATTGGGTTTCGCCGTGTTCCCTGGATGTTCCATGTCAATTATGATGCAAAGGTCTTATTCACCCCAGGGTCTTCTCTGGCAAGGAAAGGAGGAGGTGGCGAGACGGATGTCTATCAACTTATCAACTTCTTGCGTCGTGTACATGAAAATCCTGTCTGTCCGTCGGTGGAGATAGCTGTTGCAATATTGCAGGTGCCGCGTAGTGCTTGCGCTGCATAGGGTGCACGTCTTATCTGTGCATCGCGCACTCACGAGAGGCGCTTTCCCGATGACGGGGTCTCGTACACATATGTATACGTACGATCAACCCTGATAGTCATTGTGTATCACATGGCATATATCAACGCCAGAGGATTCGTCGCCTGGTGAACCCGTGGGCAATCATCAGGATTTTGACCCGAGCAACAGGGCCCGTTTCAAGTCGGTCGGACTCAAGGAAACCTGCATGGGCTTCGCAATGCATGTCGGAGGTCGGACTTAGGGGTCTTATGAGGGCATGCAAGGCATAGAGGAGAGGGCCTCGACCTCAATTCACATTGATCAGGATCACCATGACCATCGGCCGGCTTAAGTCTATCCCGGCGAGCATGGTGATTGGTCCTTATAGGAGGCATCATGGATTGACGACCTGGATCCTCTGCACTACACAGTAGATATCATGTCGGACGCACCTAGCGGAGACTGACCAGGAGTTTGGAAGTTGGATATTGCCGTTTCGGGACCCCATTCAGCAAAAAACCTCAGTTAGTTAGCAAATAGTCACCTTGCTTCCTACGTTGAATTCGTTAGCCTGTTAGATTATTTTCGCATCTCGTCCTATTTGCCCAGAATCGTTACTCTTTTCCAGCAAGGAAGCCCGATCTCTGACTTCCGGCGGGATATCCACTGCTTCGTCAGCGGAGGAAATAGTCTGAGTGGGATTCCGACTATGGGTCCAGTATACTCGTAAGGCTATGCGGTTGAAGCCGCGATGAAGAATTGCCTAGATGGGGAGGGAGATCGATGAAGCTCTTTCGGTTAAGTAGACATTTGCTCCGAAATGCCCTGACTTGAAGCTTTGAAAGTGCGTTCTCATGGCAAGAGACGATGAGGGCAAGAAGAGAAAAAAATCGCTGATCCGGTAGCCTGGAGATGAAGTGGACACTACGTGCGTTGTGCACGGTCACTAAGCTTGACAGAGTGACCGATGGTGACATTTTTTAGCCTGTTGGTCAGAGAGCCGCGTAAGACGTACAGGCTGACGTCGAACGAGATCCTCCATAGCGCGGACCCGGAGTGCGGTCGGTCGCGCTCGAGGATTGCCTTGTTAGGAGATTTTGTTCAGACGCGTCGACGAGAGGAGAAAAGAGAAATTTCAGATACTCCTATGGCTACGCATACAATCATTTCATTTGTCTCGCCGCCCAAGGACGATGATGAAGCCCTTCGGAATCCAAGACATAGCAGTGATCGGAGGCTTGCGTGGACGTGTCTGGTGAAGAAGGGAAAATCCCTCTTCCTTTCTAGTCATGGAGAAGCGAGCAGAGAGCCAAGCTTTGGGAAAGGAGCATCAGCAAGTGGTTTTGCACCCCATCAAAAGACTAAATTGTTGCCAATGTGCCATGCGATGGAGGCATCGTAAGCAATGAGTGGAGCCAAGACATCCAATCTCGCAAGCACTCCGCAAACATATCGATAATCAACCAAAGGATGGTAATGGCTTCAGCGCTGCTGCTGCTACTGCTGCTTTTGCTTGTTGCTGCTGTTGCTGCGACGAGAGGACAACTGGTAAGGGTAGGTAATATTAGGGGAGGAAGGGTGGCAGTGAGAGTGGTTGTGCCAAGGGCCTATTGCCACAGAGGGTAATGGTAGCAAAGGGAAAATAACTTGCACTGAGAGCATACACTTCCCTAGGATGAGGATGCGTGGCAGTATTGCCAACCCTCCAAGAAGATGCGGACGGAAGCAAAGAGGGTCTTGGCCATGGTTCAATTAACTGTTTCGGGGCGGGACACACGCGGCTTGCGGTGCTGGCGCGGGGCCCTGATTGGGGCGAGGAGCTCAAGGCTGACGACGCTTCGCCCTCGCTGCTGGCGTGGATGAAAAAAAAAATTGGAAAAAAATGGCCCTTTAACCCAAAAAACCCATTTTCTACTATGCTACTTCTTATCCAACCACGCTACTCCGTAGACACCCAGTACGGGTCCAGTCATTCAGTCAGTTAGTCAGTCAGTCATCGCTGCAGCTGGCACTCAAAGTCACTGCGCACTCTTCCTACACAGAGTTTCTTCTGAAGTGCCTGTCTTGCTGTCGTAGACTGCCCCATCCAATACTGCGTTTGGTCTGGTCCTCCTCCCTTCTTCCACCACCACCACCACAACCACCACTACCCTACTACAACTCTTTCTTTCTTCCCATTCTTCCTCCTCATCGTCGTCGTCGTCCTCACCTTTTGGTGGACTCCTCACATTGTAGTTTTATCCACCTTCTTAACTTAACTCTAACCGCTTCTCTCTCTCGTTTCTTTCCCTCTTTCTTCCTTTCTTCCCTCTTCGCTCCCCTTTCGGACTCCCTTCCCTTTCCTCCTTCTCCCCTCCCAATCTTCGCCTTACCCTTTCGGTCGTTCTCGGAGCCACGCCCTTCAACCTACTCTTCACTTCTGTTTCACTTAACCTGTAGCCCATTGTCGACTGGCTTCAGGTTCATCTTCGTTGCTCCTACGTCTCCTCCTTCATAGTCGTGGCGGTTACCTTGACTTCAGCGCCAAGCGTGGCGACCGCCTGGCTGGGCTGTGCGACCATCATCATCCTGGTCGACCGACTTGACTGACCGATTCTTTTCTTTCGACAACCCACCCTTGAGCCCCGTCTCCTGTCAAACAGCTTCATTGTTTTGCAAACGACTCGGATCCATTGTCCGAAATATCTAGACTGGAATTGAGAATCGAGTTCGGTCACCCTGGAGATCTATACGCCCTACTGCCGCCGCTGGTGTCATTGACCCTGCCCCTACCACCCACAACCATGGCAGACGGAAGACACCACCACCACAACCAGGCGACGAATCCTGAGAACTTCGATGCCGGCGAACTCACAAATGCCTTCGAACAATTGATGCGTAACAAGCGATTCAATCAACTCCAAGAACAAGCCCGATCGCAATCTCGCACGCAATCACCCTCTCCCGGCCTCTACCCTCCTCCCCATCCCTCGCGAGCACCACCACCGCCGCCCCCGACCGCACCTCAGTACCCGGCCCACCAAATGCCTCCGCAAACATCGTCACAGTCACCCCTACTTCGCAGCTTACCAATCGTCCCTGCCCCTCCTCAAGATCCAGTCTCCCTCAAATTCCGCAACCTCCTCCACGTTCTCTCCGTGACACCAACCAAATACGAAAACCCAGGTCTCCTCGATGAGGCGCTCTCCCACATCCCTCTCGATCGATTGTATGCCGAAGCAGAGGAGGAGAGTCAAATATTGCAGGCCCAGGCAGCTAGTGTAGGGGAACGACCAGAATGGGGTTATCAAGATTGTGTCATTCGGGCGTTGTTAAGGTATGCTTGACTTTTACCCAGAGAGGTGACAGGATTGACAACTTACTCACATCGGGCACCAGATGGTTCAAACGTTCCTTCTTTCAATTCGTCAACAACCCCCCTTGTACTCGCTGTTCCATGCCTACAATCGCCCAAGGCATGACTCCTCCTACGCCCGATGAAACCGCACGGGGCGGCACTCGAGTCGAACTCTACCGATGCTCGGAACCCAGCTGCGGCGCTTATGAGCGGTTCCCCCGGTACTCAGACGTGTGGCAGTTGTTGCAGACGAGACGGGGACGTGCAGGCGAGTGGGCCAACTGCTTCAGCATGTTTTGCAGAGCCCTCGGAGGCCGTGTTCGTTGGGTGTGGAATGCTGAGGATCATGTCTGGACTGAGGTCTATTCCGACCACCAGAAGCGTTGGATTCACGTTGACGCTTGCGAAGAGGCATGGGACCAGCCCCGTCTCTACACTGAGGGTATGTGCTTCATTGTACCGACGCATAGGAGGGATGCTAACGCAGATTGACATAGGTTGGGGCCGCAAGATCTCATACTGCGTTGCTTTCTCGATTGACGGAGCTACGGATGTCACCAGACGATATGTGCGAAGCCCGACGAGGCATGGCGCCCCACGGAACCGTGTACCCGAGGAGGTTCTAGTTTGGTGTATCCACGAAATTCGGAAGAAGCGCCGCGAGAATCTGTCGAAGACAGACCAGCGACGCCTGATGAAGGAGGACGAACGGGAGGAGAAGGAGCTCCGTACCTACACCGCATCCGCCCTTGCAGCCGAGCTGAACAACCTTTTCCCTCGGAACACCACCAACGGCCGCTTGGAAGACCAGAAGACCCCCGCTTCACGACAGGATGCCTCTGTCGAGTGGCTGAACAACAGACAAAGAACCTCCGGCCAGTCAGGCCCAGATGGCTCGCAGGACGGCCGCTAAGGATGCGTTCCTTGAACTGCCCCCCCCCCCCTCTCAACATTTTGCATATACGAAGGCCTAGCGCTCTACGGTCGTTATATACAACAACCCGACCGATTGCCTGGCGGCTTCCATGCAAGATACAACAAACACGACCATATAATTCTGCTGGACTTGATGAATGAAACCGTCACATGAACGATTTACACGAAGAGTTCCACCTATTATAGGATTCAAACTGACCCACTGCATGGTTTGGCACTTATGCGGGCCTCACCATGTCACGTCTGCCGACTTCCGGGAATGATCCCGGCCAAGAATCGGGTCGTTTTCATAGGACTCGTTTTCGGCCTGAGGCCAGAGTCTCAGGCCGGATGAAGATGCCTACAGATCATGTTCGCGATACGCCGACCTGACCATCACACTTCACCTCTTGTGGGTTCATCGAACTCCACCTATCGATCATTGATTTCCTATATGTCATTTGACTTTCCCTTTCCGACTACACATTTTGTCCAAAATGTACTTTCTTTTCTTCTCTTTTTCTCTTTGGACTTCTTTGGAATGATGCATTTTCAGGAGATCTAATCGGATACCTCATTGGGGAACGGTTATGGGTTGGGGGCGCATTTGTGACACGGAGTTGTCTTTCTATTTCTTATATAATGTTCTATAATTCTTTGCATCCTTGTCTTTTTTTATTCAGGGACAGCGCACCCAGCATTGCGGCGGATCAGTCAATGCCATGTTTATGAGACAGATGTTTCGGTCGCATGTAGCCTCAGCAGGCAAAGCGGCATCTCCTATTTTCTTACTTAAGTTCTGGCTCCTGGCGATCTCAGATACCGAATTGAACCCTTACCACAAAGACTTGTTAATCTCGTAGCATGGATCTGTCAGCAGTACGTCACGACATGGTAGTTTGATTGTCCCAAATACACTTTCCGCTTTACCATCCCATCGCAGATTCTGCAGCGCCCTCAGCCCAACCCTATGACGACGGACTACCTCCTCTAACCTTGGCTCCCAGCAATGTGGACCGAATGTCTGTGATGTTCCAGACTCCAGACATACCAGGCGACAGGGGCGAGTCAAAGTAAAATATACATACATACCACTTGACCTCCGGCACGCAATGGAATGCTACGTTTAATCATATGGGCAATCCGGACCGGAGAACACCGTGCCCAAGTCTCCGCGTTTCGAGCATGACAAGACAAGACAACAAGAATCAACAATTGATTGTTTTCTGTAGCAGCCCTTTGGGTTGGTGTTGGGCCCCGGATCGTCCTATTCCGGGGTGGTCTGGCAGGTCTGCGATTCTCGCTGCCTGGGTTTAGTCTAGTCTGGAGAAAAATCTAATCTACAACTCTTGAGGTTATATTGTTGAAGCTAGCGGGTAGTGTATCACAGTCAGAATGCCTGGATACTGGGAGGTGAGGTGCAGTGCCGGCTTCTTTTTTGCTGGAACTCAATTCGAACTCGGCCAGAACTGACCTAAGGGTCCTTGAAAGGAGTGGTAGGTGGTAGGTGGTCGGTGGTCGGTGAATGAACCCTTAATCTCCGTGACCAGACCCGAGAACATGAGAAAAGGGAAAAAGAGGGGTCCAGACGGTCTCCACTTGTGGAACACACGACACATATACACTTCTGGCCCACGTTACTGTGATCCCGTGAGTCTGGGATTGGGCTACGCACAGGAACTACTTATAATCTGACTTTTGGTAAATAGATGTACTTTGCCTCAAGGCATTGGAGGACAAGAAAAACCCAGGCGCATTCAGGAGTCTAGGTACAGTACCGGAGAAGGGTGCGCTAGGTGAAGGTGGGTTTTACGTGTGCGGGTACAGTTTATTGGGGCCCTGAGCCGGACCCGGACCTGGGAAATGGATGTGAGACATTCAGGGGAATGGGCAAACACACGGGGGCTATTCGTGCTCCGATCGGGGCTTTTTCCTCATATCTGTCTTTTCTTCCTTCGGGGCTGAATGAGGTTGAACGCTTGGTTGTTTGACTGAGTTGGGGTGGACTTACTACAAAGTATATCTTCTCATGCGTACCTAGGTAGGTACTGTATAATCTATTGTATGAAGCGTATCAGCACTATCAAGATCCTGACCTATATCGAAGGCCAGTGCAGAACTCTCTTCAATGATCTAACCTCCTTCGTACAGAACCGCGCGTTGTTTTGACAACATTCAAGTTTTCTAGAATTTGCGGTGGTGGTGGTAGTGGTGCCTGGCACGCGATTCCCTCTTCCTCACCCACGCACCCCGCGCGCTCCGAGTAAGACTAAGAAGTGGTCGGGGCGACGGAGCCCCCCCCCTCTGCTATATTTAGACGCGCCGAGCAGCCGGCCAGCCCGGCCAGACGGCCAGACGCGGCTATTCTCTCGTGATCGACATCCAGCGATCACCATCATTGGGTGGTGGTGGTATCATGTGGGCGGGTGGATGGGTCCGCTGGATCTTGAATTTTGAGGGGAGGGAGGTGGTTGGGGTACGTTCCTGATTTTCAGGTAAACCACCCTGACTGGTACCTGATTTATTTGTAGGCTGTATCTATTATTATTAGATTGAAGACAGGTAGATAGTTGTTTACGTTAGAATTGTGTGTAGGTAGTGGTTATAGCCTTAAGCGGAACGGGTCAGGGGAAAGTGCTGAGTACCGCCCGCGGCGCTCAATGACATCGACCCAAACTACGGAGTACGTAACCCTAATCTCAGGGTCTATAGTGCGCCCCCACCGGAGACCTATGTACCCACCCACATATGGGCCTGCGAAGGAGAGGGGGGGAAAGAAAAACAAAAACACAAAAAGGTCGTGCCCGGGATCGAACCGGGATTACAGGAATCAGAATCCTGGGTGCTAACCATTACACTACACAACCTGGTAGTTGTTGTATTAATACTTTGTAGCTATTGTGATTCTATCTTTTGTATGAAGCCTTAGCGGCCCATTTCATCAATATCTACCAGAGAGGTTGGGGACTTCCACTTGCTGATGCGACTTGTTTTTGAAGTGACCAATACATGTAATTAGTACTCAGATATATCAGCGTGAATGACAAGCATAGCAAGCCTCGGTTTGCTTGAGGGTTTGTGTTGCGCAAATTATATATGCTGCTTATGAATTAACTTCCTGTCATGGGCAAATAGGTAGCACGCTTCAGCTCAATCAAGAGGGAAATATAGGTACGCAAAGGGTTGCAGGCCAATCCATGTTCTTTGCTGCAAAATGAACATATCGGCTTTCGGTAACCTATAGAACAGGTAGATACTGATGTGGTCACATAATGTTTACATATGCAGCGCCCCCGACGCCAGCCAATCTTCTCAGAAGATAAAAAGATATGAAAACAGATCAGTGGCGAAATTGCTGGTTGGACTACATGTGTGGCCGAGCCCTCTGAGCTGAAATCGCATGACAGTCAGGGACACAAAGTGGGTGCACATAGGCTTGACTCCATCGCATCCGAATAAATAGTCCTCGGATTTCCGCAGGTATTGTTTTCTCAGCCTGAAAGCTTGACACTGCACATAACAGCCGTGGCACACATTGACAGCAGCAAATGCCTTGTAGCTCAAGGCCACCGCGATGAATCGAACACTCATCCTCTTAAGGCACAGTACCGGCCCCACTCAACTTTGGCAGTGAACACCAAGTGGGTCTATCCAACGGTCCCGCTTCTTTATGAATGCGAGCTTCCTCAACTTCAGCATCATCCAGACTGTATATTCTCGAAGGATGGAACCAACGATGACTTTGGCTCCTATTAACGGCGCCCCTAATCCACAGAGACAAGGTTTTTACTCTCGCAAACCACTATAAGAATCCAGACCCCTGCCATCCAATATGAGGCAAACCACAACAACCCTATACTCTAAATCATCTACTTCCTCCAACAATGGCAAATACCAAGCAACAAAAATCCTACCACGCCTGGCCAACCGACCCGCCAATCTACACTCAAACCAACAACGAGCAAGTCCAAAATATCACCCAGAACAGGGGGTGGAATTATTCCCTCTGCGACTGTTTCTCCCCCGGCTCATTGTGTGAGTTTTTGCCTCCCCAAAGGACCTCCCCCCCCAAGTCAGGGAGTGCAGAAAACAACCACTAAGACCGAGACCCCAGGCCTAACAAGCTGGTGTCTCCCATGCTTAACCTTCGGAAAGACGCAAGCGCGAATCCACGACCCTACACTCCAGAACTTCAGCCACATCAACACTGAGGTGAGTACCATGGCTACCACCAACAAGCCGCTGTTTCCCGCACCCTTTCCCAACCTTGTCGTCGCAGAGATATACTAACTGTGCAAACGATAGTGCGCCATCTTCACCTGCCTCGGCCTCGGTGTCTCCCAATGGATCATCCAAACGATCCGGCGAGGCGAGATGCGCGAGCGCTTCGGCATTGAGGGCTCGTGCTGCGGCGTGCTGCACGACCTTCTGCAGCGGGTGCTGCGCCCTCATTCAGGAGGAGAAGGAGATGGAGCTGCGGACGAGGCCCGAGTTCACGGGGTACCAGGCCGCGCCGCAGATGGCGTATTCTGCCTAGGTTTGGGGTGGGAGGTCATATGGCTGATTGGCCTTGAGGTGTGCGTGAGAGTTGCTCCATCTGCATCCAGCTGATGTGTGTGTTGGGGAGAGGGGGTGGGTAAGGGATGTGTATGTGTATATGACAGCTGGAAGATGCTGTCATCAGTGGCACGACGCCAGGGGGTTTCTTTTGTTCTTGTATACCCTGTTACCTGTGATACTTGTAATGCCGAGCCGTAATTAGGTATCACTCGGTCTGCTTTGAAGTAGTATTCAGAAAGCCATGAGGGAGAACAGAGTTAGAAGTCTGTGCTGCACAAATCAAGACTGAAGAAGGTAATCTCGAGGATATGCAGCGGAAACAAGACAACGGACCGGCCTGAAGCCTCAGGCATATATCCGAAGGGTCTGGGCGTGCCGGATGTGGCGCCGCTTTAATGATTTTCTGCCACCGTCTAAACTGAACAGTTCTCCGGTTCGGTTTTTCGGGACTGTGACTGGTGGAAATTCGCGTGTCCACCGAGGTCGCGAGGTCGCGGGTGTTCTGCCGGACGTAGCGGTGAGGGAGGCGGTCGGCAGCTGGCTAATGTGTGGGGGAGCCTGAGGGGCTAGGTGTCTGAGCGGCAGTGCTCGTGACTGGAGAGCGCGGAAACAATGGACTTCTCAACTTATCGAGCTGGATTTGGTTCCACTTTGAAGACTTGACCTCATCGTCTGGTGTCTCTTCTCTGCTGTCTCTCTACAGGACTCTGAGATGGTTTGCAAACTCGATCACGGGCAAGCAATGACACGGAGGTTAGATAAGTACTACGACCCCACAGAGCAAGACATCCAGATTGCACAGGTATGTGTCGTCACACCCCGTGTGTGCAAATTCATTAGAAGAATATAATCGGAGTAAGGTATATACAGAGCATTAGCGTGTGAAACCGGACAGACCAGACAAATAGTCAGATGTCACAAAAAAGTCCACTATTCAAGAAAAAAAAAAAGTATTGACGAGAATGGAAAAAGAGAAAGGAAAGGATCGGATCCTTCAGCGCCAGGCCTCAGTCTCATCGGGATGTGCTTGCTATACCATGCTCTTGAAACTTGACGCAGAGCGGAACAAGCTTGCCAGCGACGGAAGAGACTTGAGACGCTGAGGCCGTGGCAGGGTTTCGTGCAGCGACGCCGGGGTTGGGAGGTCCGGGCTCGCGCACTGCGAGTAGAATCGGCCGATGTCACCATCAGAGCCGTACTCGGTCGGAGTGGCAGAACTGATCGACCGGGGGATGCCGTCGGTCGAGATCTGGAGATTGCTGCCCATGTACTGGGCTTGGTGGCGCACAGGGTATGCGCCAAAGCAGGCTCGGGGCACGAGACCCTCCTGGGCGGTTTCAAGGACGTTGACAAGAGCCTGCGGAGAACGTTTCATTAGCATACTTGCGGTGACACAATGTGAAGAAGGGATTGACTTACCCATCCGTCGTCGTAGACGAGATGCAGGACGGCATTTTGACCCTCTTTCAGCTCGACGTGCTCGGGGCTGACAGGCTTGAAGTCCATTTCTACCCGGTACACTCTGGCAAAGGAAATATCGGGCGTACCGGGGTAGGTCCGACTCTCCACAGTTGGGCTTCTCGAAACCCGGTCAACAGTCGGGCTCCTTGACACTGAAGGGCTGCTGCTTGCTGTTGACGATAACGATGACGGTGATGATGATCCTGAGGATTCCGGGGAGATGGGCGTGACAGTTTCGACAGTTGCTACTTTTGCCTCCGGGAACTTGCCCGTCTCAAGTTTGGGCGTGCTTGATACTGCAGCATCCTTTAATCGACCGACATCCCCGACCAATGTTTCCGAAGAGCCAGTAGGGCTCTCGATACTTTCAGAAACCTCCATGACAGGGGCGAGCTCGTTTGCATGGCACGACCTAGGAAGGTCCCGCAAGCCTTGGTGCAGACTGCTGCTACTATACGTGCTGTATGTGCTATAAGGACGAGGAACATGGGTCTTGCTCCCCCAGCTCGAATGAACGAACCCGCCAACCTTCTTCAATGTAGTCACACTTGTCGAGTACACCTTGCGACTAAACTCCTTGATCGGCTCATACTTTGCATTCTCGAAGTGGCGACGCAGGACGGGGATTTTGGATTGATATGTTGTCTTGATCTTGCCCCCCGCTTGACGCACGGCGCTGGTCCCTTCGGTGTAGACCTTGGATGCATACCGGACGAACTCATCACTCGTCCTCGGGCTGTCAGACACCTTCTCGCCCCGGCTTTTCGCAATGATTTGCCGAAGACGGCGCTTCTTCCGGCGTAGCGACCACAGGATGAGTCCTGCCATCGCGGCGACGACGATGACCACGCTGAGGCCGATTGCTGCCTTAGTGCCGCCAGGCGTGCCGGCGTGCTTTCCTGAGTCGACGGAGATGACGGTGCTGGTAGCAGTGGCTTCGCTTGGGTTGGATGAGGGGAGGGATTTTGACATTCCGGTAGCAGTAGGAATCACTGCTGTTGCGAAAGTTGTAGCCCCCACGACTGGAGCGGCAGCGGCAGCTGTTGGGGGCTCGGCGCTGGGAGCTCCAGCACTCCATTGGGTGGTCGGGTCTGTCGTCGCAATTCCAGCGGCTGTTTCGCCTGTTGACGCGGCATCGCTAGCGGGAGCTGCCCAGGTGCTGGCCGTTCCCGCTGCGGTGCTGTCCTGTGCAGCTGCAGGGGCAGCAGGAGCAGCAGCAGCAGCAGCAGCTTCTGTACCGGCACCTTCTGCTGTAGTACCTGCGGTGGATTGTGTGGTTGTGTCGGTGGCTGCCGCTGCTGTCCATTGCTCGGTGCTTCCTTGTGCTGTGCCTGCCGCGCTGCCATCAGCAGCAGAGGCTCCGGCGGCAGTAGTACCGTCCGCTGCGGCAACTGGGGCTGTCGCTGCCCATGTACCTGTGCCATCTGAAGTCCCGGCTGCTGTTCCCGCCGCTGTTCCCGCCGCTGTGCCTGCTGCTGTGCCTGCTGCTGTGCCTGCTGCTGTGCCTGCTGCTGTGCCTGCCGCCGTGCCTGCTTCTGTTCCGGTTCCTGTTCCGGCTGTCGATGCATCACCGGCTGCTGCACCACTACCTGCCCATTGTCCAGAGCCGGCCACGGAGGTTCCCGCGGCCCATTGGCTAGTCCCTTCGGTAGAGGCGCCACCGGCTGACCAGGTCGACCCAGAAGCATCGGCCAGTTGAGGTTGCCTCTTAGCAAGGCCAAGGCCATGGGGTCTGTTTCTGAGTCGCATCGTTGGTCCTTGGTGTGGGTGTACGAGCATCGACCAAGCATGCAACAATTGTCGGCTGTGGAGCTAAAAGTCGGGAAAAGGTTTGGAACTGGACGGCTGTCATTGTAACTAAATAAGTGTCAAGCCGGCAGACGCCACAAATCGCTCAACCCATTCGAACCACAACATACACACTACACAAACAAACTACCACCTTCAGTATCCAATTCTGACAATCCACTAGTGCGGTGGGGTTGTTCTCTGCATCTTCTATTGTTGTTGCATCCGCGGGATGCGGAATGTATTTTCTATGGTCTAGCGCATTCTTGGCTGGATGAAGCGCATTCCGGCGTCAACCCTAACGCTCTTTGGGAGATTACACATTGCCCGGGCAGATGGGCCACCTCATACGGCATCCTCTTTATTGTTTCTCCGATTTGCCGTCCGGAGCAGCTTCTCGCTGTCTCCCCGCAGCATGCCTGAGCTCGTTGTCTAGTCAACAGTCGGTCTCCTCTTCGAGCTTGATGTAGCCTTGAGCCTAACATCCAATGCAGATCACTTCCGCTATATCCAGTCTCTGGAAGTCAATGATGACGCTTGCACTTAACAGTCTTTCTCGATGCCCCAGGCAGAGGACTTGGTTGCACCCTTACTTCTGACGCTGACTTGGCTTACTTGTCACAAGCTGTCCATTTTGTCCTGGCGTGCAGGTACCCGTCCAGGCCTCAGTGAGAGTGCGACGGAATGCAGCGGACATTCCTCCAGATTGAGCCCGGACTAGCAGTGGTTCCTTTGTTGTTGTTGTCTCTTGTTTGTGTTTGTGATATAATGGAGTCAGTCAACTTGGTTCATGAGTCTGCTCATCATAGAGTTTAACATATGCTTGGGCTGAGGGTCAACAGTTGAAGACACTAGACACTAGGAGTACAGCCCCAAACATCGACTTCCAAACACTTCTTGTAGTCTTTAGTCCTCTGGCCATTGTCACATAGTTCCACTACAACATTTCTGTACTATATACACCCATCAATATATATTTCACCTCTACACGGTTCCCCTCGGACCCTGCATCCCATCTCATAATACCAACCAACACAGTCTAAACCCGTCCTCTTCAAGCATACACCCAGAAGCCAAACTCACAACTTATAACAAACCCCATAACCGCAACCCTCCAAAACACCAAAACATTAAAACAACCACCACCTTCCAACCCTACCCAAAACCATCCCCCAGGCACCCAAGGTATCCACCAAACCCCAAACCCAGGAACCCCCTTCTACTAGCTAGCTAGCTCCCATTCCCTCAAATTCCACAACCTGTCGTTTATTGTTTACCCCTGCAGCTAACCCTGCCAGGTACGAACTAGCTTACCAGACACAAAGCTCGCCGCGCCAGGTACCATCAATTTCCTTTGTCCGGATAGGTCCAAGTTTTTTGTCTCTAGATTCAAGGGTTCCACCCTCCCATCCCCCATCACCGATAATGGTTTAGGCCACATACCTCCGCCGGCAGAGGAATCCGCACTATAGATTTTGGGTTGTGTGTTTTTCGCCGACGAGCCTATTAACATGCTGAAGGTGGGGGTGGTTTCCATGGTGAACGGGGAGGGAGATATTTTGGGGATAATTTGGGGATGGCTACATGTCCAGGTAGTTGGTTCTGGTTTTGTCGGTGTGGATGGTTGATGGTGCTGTTGCCCTTGGTGCTTTCGTCTCGGGTGCGGCGTGGGCTGTGGGGGTTTGGTCATTGGTTGGGGATCTTGCAGTGCTTGGTCGATGGTCTAGGGGTAATTTGGCTTGCTTTGGTGCCGGTGGTTGTGCCGATGGTTGTGTCTGTAGGGTGCTCGGTGGAGTATGGTTACTTCGGAATTATTCTTGTTGTTGTATGTATCTATCTTCTTGGTTGTAAGGGTTGGGTGTGGGGATGGGTATGCTTCATTGAGGGGGGTTCGTTGGCTAGTAGTTCAAGTTGGGTACTCTTTTTTTTTTTCCTCGTGGAAGTGGAAGTAGATTGGGGAAGTTTTGGTGGTGGGATCGTGTGTTTTTATCTCCTGGTGCCGTTAATGAGTGTAGGTATAGAGGACAGCAGGAGATATATATCTATATATCTGTAGACGGACGACTGTAATGTGGGTGGCGTCCGGCCGTACTCGGTGGGCGCTATTTCTCCTTGGAGAGTATGTGGTCTACGCTGTTGTCTTATTTATCTATCCATGTGTATTTTACGCTATTGACCTATTGCTGTTGTACTCGGTGTGCTTGGGTAGGTTGCTTGGTGGTGAATAGACAATATGCGGAGTGAGTATTCTTCCCGCCGCCTCAGGACAAACCGCCAAGGGCGATGGAAACAAGGGATGAACATGATCCAGCTTCCCTCCCAGTCCATTGAAATACTCTTTACACTTGTTAAGCCTCTAACTTCGAACGATGTTCTGACCCAACTAATGCATCTGATGTCAGAAATCCATGCAAATGGTTCACAGGTACATGCATCCATACCTGCTGATCACTACTCGCTAAAAGACACATGCAGGAATCACCCACAACCAACTTACCCTCCCACCACAAACCTAGATTCACCTCCCTTCCCCCACCGCCCAGACACAACATTCGATCCCCCTCTCCCGCAACTCCCCATCGATATTCCCCACCTCCTGCACATAGTACGGCTGCCGCGGCAGCTGCAGCGTCCACCGCCGGCGGGGCAGGTGCAGCCCGCGCAGCGGCTCCAGGAACAGGGGCAGCTTCTCGACGGGCTCGCCGAACCAGCTGCAGGGCAGCTGCAGCGTGAAGGTCTGGAGGCTGCGCATGCGCGTGACGGCCTGGCACGTCTCGAGCCACTGCTGCCGCCCGGCGGCGAAGTAGACCGTCTTGACGGGGTCCTTGCTGGGCAGCCAGTGGCCCGGGAACGCCCAGCGGAGCTCGACGGCGCGGATCGCGTCCCAGAAGTCCGGGGGGATCGTGGGCCGCAGGTAGGTCAGGGACCAGGTGTTGCTGAATTCGAAGGTGTTGAGCGTGTAGAGGATGTAGATGGATTCGGTGTAGCTGTTCTCCCCATCTTGTTAGCTGTAGGGATTGAGGGTTGGGTTGAGGCTCAAGGGATAGAGCGCACATCTGCTTACACGTCAACGCCAACGCCAGAAGCCCCGTCGTCGTCGTCGTCGTTGTTGTTGTTGTTGTTGCTATCGTTGTCGTCGTCGTCCTCCGACTCGCAGCTTTGGTCGCGCTGGGAAGCCCTCCCTGGCAGATCTCACAGGCCAACACCCCGTCCCGGCTGGGACACACGACATGTCCCATTCGTCGATTCGCGCGCTGCACGATATGGATGCGCATCCCGCCCTGCACCAGCTCCCAGATCGCCATGCGCAGCTCCGGTGATAGTTTCGCGAGGAGGGCGCTGTCCCGCTGGAAGGCCCATTCGCCCCGGGTGTCGGGCTTTTGCTGATGCTGCGGCAGCGGCAGCGACGCACGTTGACCTTGTTGGGCGCTGCTGGATCGCCGGGTCCGAGGGAGGGCAGTTGGCTTGTTGTCTTCAAACATGACAATCAGAATCTCAGTACCAAGAATGAGGGTAAATGGATAGTCGTCAACGGACTCACTCTGATACCGTTGCGCCAGTACATCCTCCCACGAGAAAACCCCCTGCTTGATCCTGGCCATGGTAATCCGTCGAATCTGGGCCCCAGTATAGACAGTATACCAAGATGCTGCACTCCCAAAAGATGGAACGAGCGAGAGCGACAAAGAATGCAGCAGCGACTGTCAATAGTCCATGATTTCCAATTGATGATGAGAATTATCGGGAAGGTTGGTTATCTGCCTGACGCGCCTAGAATACTGGTTACTGGGGCTGATCTGAGCCACACGACCGACTCTGCAATCACGCGCGATCGTACGTGGCTGCGGGGATCAGTGAGGGGAATTGAGGGGGAATCCGAATGTAAGCGCCTGCGTTTAACCGACGAGGTTCATCGTGAGAATGGAGGGGGACAGAACCAATGCAGAAATCACACTGGAGGGTTGAACATGAGGGGATAAGCCATGTCTTTATATATGGAAGGGTGAGGAAGACATATCATCTAGGAGGAAAGTCGGTGAGCTGAGATTCACATCCATTCCATCTAGATACAGTACACAGGAAGATAACACGGCGATAAGCAGTTGCTCCGTTCGGCGGATGTCGGATATTGTCTATTGACTGGCAAAAGGAAAGTCAGATTACAGCCTCGTCGCCTAATCAAAATCCCGCCGGAGAAAGAAGCGGAGTAATTCCTGCTGGATTGTCTTCCTTGAATAGAATAGCCCACTCCCTACTCATCATCATTCAAGGACCCCTGCCCCCGTCAGGCATCCGTCTTATCGCCTTATCTTTGGATATGAGTGCCTTTTTCTTGAGTTGCAGGGAGTGTCACGCGGCAATGGAGTTCTTTGTCGCTAGATAGATCACAGCCACATCCATGGCGAGCGTCAAAACATCGTCGAAATTGTTGTTCGATTTATTCTGGAGAAGTAAAGTCTAAACTCCAATCTCACGCACTATTTCCATCCCGCTTCTTCTTCGCCTTGATGCTGACGCGCGGCCACTCCAGAGACACCGCAGCACGCCACGGCAGTCGCTTCATGGAATGCCTGGGTCACAGACTTGTTGTACACAGACATGACTGCATCGTACAGCGATGAGGGCACGGCGCTCACCAGCCTACTCGCATCCGTGTTGACTACGATGCTTGGGTCAATGGAAGGGGCATCTTCGGCCAGGTTGCGGACTAATTGGGTGGTAAACACGTTCCTCGCCACCGGATCCATGAGTGCCCCTCCGATATCTTCTACGAACCTGATAATCGACGTTCCGAAGGCCACTTAAAACAGAGGGGGGCCGTCTGGGAGGGTGCAATGACCGACTGCAAGCCGAGTCCGATGACTGTGGTAGTGCTGCTGGGGAAGCTCGAGGTAATATTCCGCAGTCATTGACAATAGTCAACTCTTGGGGGGTTTCATGCAATTGAACCAATTGGGGAAGTGATCAGCTTGAGGTACCGATGGCTCCTGGGGCCAGCCACGCATCCCAAATCGTTGGATGAGAGTCTGAATATAGACCCGGAGAGGCCTGGCTTGCCATGATGACTTTCATAGTTATTCAAACTGCTGAGATTTTCTCGATTAGATCTCTTGAGTGAAGAGCAATCTTGCATACTATCAGATTGGGGAGAGACAGTGAGACGGAGAAAGATGAGATATCCGACCGGACCTCACCGAAGTGGAAAAGGCTCACACTGAATGATCCCCCGGGAACTCGATGCTTTTACTGCTCAGGCTAGCCCAAATTGAGGGCTTATTCCAGAGGGGCGGCCCGCAGCGCTTACTATATTTCCATCGGTGATATATTTGAGATAGCGTACGGACTTATTTAATACCACACTACAGGCAAACTGAAGATCTCACTCACTTCGACTCACCATGCGTCAGCATCCTTCATCTCCAACGGTAACTGTACAGTGGGCTTGCCGTAGACGTATCTGGATGTCAGATCGACCGACGTTGCGGGATGAAGGGGTGGAGTATGGATCCAGACCATTGAAAATGGGGGTGCAGTGCGAGCTGCATGTTTGGCCGGGGGTGTTTCGTGGGCTCGATGGGCTGTGTCCCGAGGCGAAGTTACCGGTGCGGGCGGTGGAGACGAGGATGATTTGGTTGAGGAGGTTGTGGTTTGAAAGGTGCAGGTAGATTAAGGGTCTTGAAGGCCTTTTTTTTTTCTCTGAGGAGAGGGTAGGGAATAATAGATATGGATTGTGGGCGAAGTGGAGCATTTCATGGATTTGAATGTATAGTTTAGAGATGATGCATAGATCAATATTATTTGATGAGCACTTGGCAGCAAATTGGATCACGACGACTACTCTAGGTTTTTAATAACGATATTATCGATTGACGACACACGAGAGAAGTGGGGGTCTACAGCACCGCAAAAGCCGAGACATAGCTCACCGAGCTGTCGTTCACATCCGTGATATCGGCACTTCGCTCATATCGGACGAAGTGGAATTTGCCCTTCTTGCCCTCGTCTTGGCTAATGATTGCTTCGAGGGCAGCCATGATGACCCCGATGGGGTGACGGCCGCAGACGGTGTTTCCCGTCCGCTCGACAGCGTCCAGGAAGCTTGCCGCACGTCCCGTGGTGATGGCCGCCATGGTTGCAATATCGAACGCAGAGATGCTCTCGTGGATGGCTGGCTCGTGGCGCTGGACACGATCCCGTCGCTGAAGGGAGTGACCAGCGGATACCGACTCCACCGTTGCCTCTACGTCTCTGTGGTTGTTGCCAGGCTGGGGGAGCGAGTCGGCCGAGAGTGGGAGACTCGGTCCTGGCTTGGGCGCATGGGGAACATAGTAGGTGTAACGGAACCGCAGTCCCCAGTGGCAGAAATCTGAACTGATGACGAACGCGTTCTCAGGATCTTGCAGATAAGGGGCAAGCAAGGTCCCAAAGGCTTCCTCAGTTGCAGCAGCAGTGCTTCCCACCATGATGGGGACTAGCGGTGGATACTGAGATGTCGGCTTGTTGGGATGTTGGAGCTGAAGAAGACGGTGGATGTAGGGCAGATGGAGCTCGATACTGTGCTCAGCTTCATCAACAGACTCATTCATCGTTGTGAAAGAGATATTGGTTCCATTGCGCTTCACAGCTTTGGTTGATAGGAGCTTTGCGATAAGCTCGGTATCGAGCGGCAAAGGGTCATCGGAGAGCGGGGTATAGTATGATGTGAGCTCGGGGAGAGCAAGTGTCGTCAGATAATGATGGTGAGAGGGTCCCAGCACAAAGATCCGTTTCCTGAAACTGAAGTGAGTCTTTGAGAACCGAGACAATCTGGCGTACTCTTGATTCTTACGCCTTCGATAAGTCCAGGGCTTTATAGGCGTGGGCAGCACATGGTCCGGAGTATGCATAGCCCGCATGTCTGGGAAATCAGCATGCAGTCAAAAGATGAACAGTCACATTAGCTTGGACATACGGAGCGATGATTATACGAGCACCAGGCACAGGCAGTGATCCAATACCCGGGACCTCGTTTGGGACCTGAGCCAACCACTGGTCCAACTGACGCGTCAGGGTATGTTGGCTATCGGAATACCAAGAACCAGCATGAGTAGCTTCGCGAGACGGCATGCTGAGCTGATTTTCTTCCTTCGCGAGGAGATAGCAATAAGAATTTAGATTAAAACCTGCAAGTTGACTATCTGGACCCTAGATTGAAGCGTGTGGACCAAAGAGGGTATAAGAGCTGGGTAAGTTGCAAGGTGCTTTGTCGGTCGGTCAGAGTCTCACAGACAGCTTGATGAAGCAGAAGCGGGGAAGTGGGACTTCCCTCGTCATAGGCACAAAACAGCGGAGTTTGCCTCGCTCAGGTATCAAAACTCAAGGCTTTCCTCCGCCGGTATGCCGAAGGCGGCATGCCGATCATTGTATACACATCATGAACATTTGGTCGATTACACGCATTGCGAGGCCATTATTGAACGATCTATAAAGTTTTAGGAAAGTGTAGGTCAAGCATTTCTCAACTTGCAAATGTTGAGTGGTATCCCATATGATAGGCCTCGAGTAACCCTGGGTGGGAAATGAACACAACCATAGCAATTATGACTGTGGAGCCAGTAGTTGCGTGTGCTTTGGGAGCTCTCTTGAGAATTATCAAAGGTATAATAGTATGTAGTGGTCTTCTTCTCGGCATGATTCATATGTTTATCCAGAATTTTGAGATTAGAGCACCACCTTTGCATATGCGCCTTATTGGAATCACGGTCCCTGTCGGGATCAAACCTGTGAGCTTCTAAGCCGATGTACTCACTAGGGTCCTATAAAGGGGTAATAAATGCTAATAATCAAGTTGTTCCAGGCAGTGAAGTATAGATCGAGGAATCAATCGATACAAACTACAGGATTCACTCAATTTACCCCTAAATAGGAATAGCGCATATTTCATGTAGTGCGACGCGGTCTCGCCTTCATTTTCTCCGCGATCCGACGCGCCGGTGTCTCGACCAACCACGCCCGAAAAGGCTCTCGACCCCAGCCTTGTTCTCCTCCTCAGCCTATATATCAGAAGAGCTGCTCTACCTCGTTCGTCATCTTCCCAGCAGATCCATCTTTCCCAATTGCTCCCATAAAGTTAGTATATATACTATTCTGATCAACATCGCATTGCTCGACCGAACGATCCACTATCGACCTTGCAAGCGGCAATCGAGACCTCACATCAGCATCATGTCTCTCAAGCGCAAAGCCTCATTTCCAAGCCTCGAATCACAAAATGCCCCCTCAATGTTGACAGGCGGGTTCTGGAAAGGGGAGGAACCCCCCCAACATCTGAATAGCCGGACACGAAAGCGATTCAGGAACGACCGTCCAGAAGAGAAAGTTGTATATGGTAAGGCTTGCTGACTGCTCTCATCGTCCTGGCTTTGTACTTATACCTTTCAGAGAACACACTTCGGTGGCTTTTTACAGCCCAACAGCAACAAACATCCGCTCCCCTTGCAGATGAGCAAGAACAAATGGATCACGAACCCACACTATCACCTGAGACGGTCGACCCGCGCCAGCAGACGTTACTCAAATTCTTCCGTCCTTGCCAACCATCCTCCAATAAATCGCACCCGTACAGCCTCATGCCGAAGACCAGCGATACTCCATTCTTCGGCGCGACACCTGTGCACTTTCACAGTATGCCAATCGCGGTCCCGGGACATTCAATGGATAGCGATACATTCAGCCCTGCTTCTCAGACCACGGATACCGATATGGATGTGGAAATGGAGTCGGCTAGTGATGAGTCGAACTGCTCGTCCAGAGCACCAGTTGGCGGACTCGCCTGGATGGGACACCCTAGGTTCTGAACGCCAAACGAAGAACCTGATCTCATCTATGTCGCAAGCGACAATATATTCTCCATTAGCGATGATACCAAACCTAACACTTTGTCACACTGGGGTTCTCTTACCGGCTGTTGCTGGTCACGTCGGTTCTATTCAGAGCCCAAGCTGATGCGTTTTGTCTTGAACAACAACTGCATGACGTCACTCTTTTGTATATCTACAGCTTCAACTTGAGAAGCTATCTTCCTTTGCTCTGAAACAAGCTTGGACGTCTCTGGCCTTGTTAGCATTACTGATGTGGCTTGGAAGGCTGAGACGGCCGAAGGCTTCGGGCACAGCCTATATGAGAATTAGATCTACATAATACTATTTAGCATTGAAGCGCAAAGCTTCAGCGGGGAATAACTGAATCAATGTCTTATAAAACCTGTCTGAATGGAACAATGAGTACTATAAGAGACAATACCAAGTACTGTTTCAGCAGTTCTGTGTTATTCAGTAGTCGAGGAGTTTCAACGACACATACAATACATGAGGAGGCTTGAGCATAATTAAAAGCATAATAGAGAAACCTTTCTCAATTCCCCACACGAATTGCTGGAAGGGAATTGCTTCTCGACGATGGGTAGCTGAAGCTAGAGGATGTTTGTAGTCACACGCTCAGTTTCGGGAGTCATGTGCGGGGGGAGCAGTAATGCCTAAGGTCTCCAGCGGCTCTATCCTTGACCCTTACGCTACGCTACGCTGGGGTGACCATCTTCCTTCTTCCGAGGACTAACCTTGGACCACCCAACCGGAACACGCCTAGTTTAGTTTCGAGGAAAGCCTTCGCCTCAGCTGAAGATATAAACCCCGCCTGATTATTTTCCGACCGACTGCGCCCCCAGGCAACTGTTACGCTCTCTCGTTTAGCATCGGCCAACGCAGAACAGTCCAGACCGCCAAGTTCTCTCCTGCTAGTGGTTGCAATTCACCCACCCCGCTCTCAACCTGTGAGGTCAAGCTGGTTAGCCCGTCTAGGGACAAGTTGATTAACCCGGAAGGGATAATAAAAAGAAAGGAAGCGAGCTATACAAATCATGGACGAGAACACGGCAGTGCAATACTTGGAATCCTTGATCGGTCGAACCCTCCGGGTGCACGCGACAGACACGCGCATTTTCGTGGGCACCTTCAAGTGTACCGATGCGGTAAGTGTTCTAGCTCTTCCTCTCCTTTCCTTCCTTGAATGATTTGTTGGGGTCGGTGTTTTGGCGGAAAAGATACGAGGATTTTGTTTTTATTTGGTGTTCGCTGTCACCTGGGGGTTCTCTGATCTGACTTTCTTCTCTCTCGCGCTTGCATTAGGCACGAAATATCATCCTTTCCAATACTCACGAGTACCGGTATCCCTCTCCCTCCGCCGTTCGAGACGCGGCCACGGATGCGAATGAGCTAGCCGCAGAAAGCGCGGGGACCGCGCAGAATAATAATATCAAGGTGTCCATGACTAGTCGATTTATCGGGCTGGTGGTCGTCCCCGGTCAACATATTACTAAAATTGAGTTGGAAGAGACCCCGCAACAGGGTCGGATGCGGGACACCTTACGATCATAGTGAGATTGCGATCTCCCATCGAAGGCAGACTACTGGAAGCTTGACTACCCGGCGGCACGAGATGCTTCAGCCACGAACACGAACACTATCCTCATGCTATCTGGGATGATGATTTGGGGGGGAAGGGGGAGGATTACGAGATGAGCTTCTGGAGAGGGAAGGGGTTGAACCTCATGGTGACCCAGGAGGCGCATGAGTAGCGCACAAAGCCGAAGCAGTCTGCACGTTGACCCTGTGCCAAAGGCCCACATATACCTCGTTTTGAAAACGGGAATTCTTTAAGAAGAAAAGGGTCTTCCCTGTCCCCCAGCTGAGCTGCTGTGCGAGCCAAGGCGAAGCCCTCAAGCACTCCTACTACAACGTGGTTAGGAGAAATATTCAGACAAAGTCGTTGGTGCTTGGCGCAGGGTGCATGGGCTTGGCAGCAGCAGCTACCGTCGTGACCATGCACCACGAGGCTGTAGTCGAAATGGCGGTGTTCCTGCAGTTTGGCATACCGCTGACTGTTGTATCGTCGAGGTGATTTAAAGGGTATTTCGCGGGGCATGGTCCTTGCCTTTGCAACTTTGCTTCCACTCGAACGGGGGTGGCACAGGGCCAGTCCGGGCTAGATGGCCGCGCGAAGGGATGGAGACGATATCGCCATCTTGGAACAACAAGGTTATGACTTGAAGTTCAGCATCGTGTATCTATATCTAGCCACCTCGAGTGGATCGCTCCGGACGGCGAGTCGGGTGTGGTTGGAGCGTTCTGGAGGCCACCTGTCGGTGGTCATCCGAAGATGAGTGATGCGTTCGGGATCCAGGCAGAATTGAAATCTCCTTGCATCATTCCAAGAACGAGGAACCTATGATTTTGGAAAGGAACGAAGCCAAGGCCTTGGAGGGATGGAGGTGGTGGTGGGAAGAGACCAACCATGTAACTTTTACGTAGAGCAGCAGTGTTGTGTTCAAGTTCCATCAGTGCTCTAGATCTCCTGAGAAGTTTGTTGGGATCGAGGAGAATTAAACAGTCATAATGTCATCGACGATCTCACCGTAGTGACTAGTTTTATAAATAAGTTGGATGGGGACTCAGACAGTCTGGATCGAAGTCAGATTTGACCTGAGGCGATAAGATTGTGTGGACGGTGACAAAGACCCCCCCACACCATTATCCACAATTCAAAACAAATCATCATCAGCAACATCATCATCATCACCATCATCATACCTATGGTGTATGTGTGTATGCTATAACATGCAGGCGGTTCCTCATACCGGACTTTTATCTGCCACGAGTACCAGTTCCGCTCAAGCATTTATCCATCTCATCTCTCTATCCACCCATCCAGGCAGCGCCATTCCTGTTCCTCAGGCAACTTACGTGCTCCTCATACAAAAAGCTCCCAGGCTTAAGCTTCCCTGTTCCGGGCCGACCGATTAATCCGGACATGCCACACCCGCTGTTGGCTGCAGGATTCGAGACCAAAAGCGACCTGAACTGAGCTGTTAACGTAGTAGTAAGTAGTTAGTCTAACTGAGTGGAAAGTAAGCCTGGGTCTTGAGGCGAGAACCTTCACTTTTCACTAGGCTAAAGCTAACTAACTAAATACAAGTAAGAGTAAGTTTACTCCAGCCTTCTCTTTCCACACCGTTAGTCAAGTTATCTAGTAATTCTTTTTCTCGGTTTCTCTTTTTATTTCTCTTCGCCTTCTTCCTCCTCTTCCACCACCACCACCACCACCACCACCACCAACAGCCTTCTGTTCCACTGTCATCATTGGTATTGATTCTTCCAGTAGCTCAGGTGTCTCAACCTTATCCTCTGTGGCTTGTGTGAGAGAGTGAGTATTCTGGGCTGGCATGGTTTTTCTCCATTCTTTCCACTGCCACATCCCCATCCACCCCCCCATGATGACGCATCTTTGCCCGTTTCCACAACTCTTATCATTTTCCCCTCCCAAATCTTCCACCCCCCAGTCAGAAACAGATCACAGATCCTCTCCCCCCCCCCCCAACTTTACCTAAATTCTCCGTTGGAACATCTTCCCTACCTACTATTGCCTATCTCCACATGCAACCATTTCCCCCAGGTTTCTAGTGTCTCCCTCGAATGTATATTGCCCATGAACTAGTGTTCATTTTGTCTTTCAACTTCCCGCCGCCGCCCCGTCATTTCCACCCTTTCGTCCTCCTCTCCTAACGGTCGCGATTTAGGAGCTTCCTCGGCGAATCGGAGCTTATCCTTCCGACGACTAGCTCTCGGTGGCTGATGCTTTCGTCTCCCCCAAACTCGATGTCCATCCATTCCTGTCTCTAATTCCTTCTGCGCCATTAATCGAACTCGACTCCCCTTATCCTTCGCGTCACCTCGAAGGGCTGGATCCCTTAGTCTCGTACCAACATCAATCTTGGCCGGTTTCCGACTACTGCCTTCCATCGCCGTGTCTTGTGGTCATCAACTGCCCTCGTGACATTTATTGACCTGTCGACTCCACCATCAGCGAAAGATTTTCCTCTTCTTTATAACTCCCAACCTACTCTCGGGTGTATCCTTAGCCAAGACACCTGCTAGCATTCCAGCACCTAGCAGGGCTTGGTGCTCCTCTGCTGAATCCCTATCCATCGTCGGGCGTCGGAGATTGAGCTTGGCAGATATTTTGCCGTTGCAGTAATGGGTCAATCGCATTCCAAGGGCAATAATGGCCCTGGCGATTCTTTGCAATCGTATCCATCCTTCTCTCGCTCTGACACCAAGGAATCCATCCGCTCCCTTCGTGGCTCGATCCGCTCCAAGATTCGTAGCAGCGACAGTCCCCGCGCCTCCACATCTGCTCTGTATCAGACGGAAAGCCAGACCGATAAGTCGGATGCTGGCTCGATCAAATCGGCGGCAAGCAGGCGCAGCTCGACCAACCTGAGCGCTCCCCAGTCCCCTGCTGCGGATGACGCCGCTTCCAAAACCGACTCATTGGAACCTCCTCCGTCTCCATCCCTGTCGAACAGTCTGAAAAGAGGCCATAAAGATGTGAATGCGATGCAGCAGAGTGGGGAGGTTGACCACGTGTCGGACGCTCCCCCGACCGGTGTTGCCCCCAAGGGCCCTTCTACACAGAAAGTTGGCGAATCGATTCTTATCAAGAGAGAAAACCAGCTGAATCCGATTCTGGACTTCATCATGAATACACCGATGAACAGCGAAACATCTGGATCGCCGGGAATGGGGATGGGTGCTTTGAAGTCGATTGACCTGGATGACATGATTTCACGACTTCTTGATGCTGGCTACTCGACCAAGGTTACCAAGACTGTTTGCTTGAAGAATGCGGAGATCGTGGCCATCTGTACCGCCGCACGGGAACTCTTCCTTTCTCAGCCCGCTCTTCTGGAGCTGTCGGCCCCCGTCAAGATTGTCGGAGATGTCCATGGTCAGTACACCGATCTCATTAGGCTGTTCGAGATGTGTGGGTTCCCCCCCGCCTCAAACTACCTCTTCCTGGGTGACTATGTGGATCGCGGAAAGCAGAGCTTGGAAACAATCCTGCTTCTGCTCTGCTATAAGCTCAAGTACCCCGAGAACTTCTTCCTCCTGCGTGGCAACCACGAGTGTGCCAACGTTACTCGCGTGTATGGATTTTATGACGAGTGCAAACGGCGTTGCAACATCAAGACTTGGAAAACATTCATCGATACGTTCAACTGCCTCCCAATCGCTGCGATCGTTGCTGGCAAGATCTTCTGTGTCCATGGTGGTTTGTCGCCGAGTCTTTCACATATGGATGACATCCGAGGCATCGCCCGCCCGACCGACGTGCCGGACTATGGCTTGCTGAACGATCTTCTGTGGAGTGATCCAGCAGATATGGAGGAAGACTGGGAACCCAGCGAGCGTGGTGTCAGCTACTGCTTTGGCAAGCAGGTCATCATGAATTTCCTGCAACGGCATGACTTTGATTTGGTCTGTCGAGCGCACATGGTGGTCGAAGACGGTTATGAATTCTATCAAGACCGTATTCTGGTTACTGTCTTCTCTGCGCCTAACGTAAGTATATTCCGAAGTCGATTTGTGTCAATCCTTTTCCTGATACTGACTGTCCCTGGATTTAGTACTGTGGTGAATTCGATAATTGGGGAGCCATCATGTCTGTTTCAGGTGAATTATTGTGTAGCTTCGAACTCTTGAAACCGCTGGATTCCACGGCCTTGAAGAATCATATTAAGAAGGGCCGGAACAAGCGGAACAGCATGCTCAGCAGTCCTGTAAGTCGTCCCTTGCTTGTTCGTTTATCCTCGCCAAGCCCAGAGACTACACCCTTGTGTAACAATGCCGAGGCATCTGTACCTTGGACGATACTTGCTCCTTCTGCACTGGTACGTTGACTCGATCGCAATGCTAACGTATGCAGCCTGCAATTGTCTCGGCACAAAGCTACTAGAGGTCCTGGTAATTGCATGCCAAGCGATCGTCATCCGCCATATGTCACCATCAAAATACCCGGACCCTACACCATGAAAACTGACCAATGCACATCATTCGCTATCGGCAGTGCAGCCTTTGGCAACCGGCTGGGCTAGCACAGTATCACCGCCAACTCGGCAGGTGCGCCACAGTTACCCCGTCGACATTCGGGCGCCAGTCTGAGGAACCCCACTGCAGTGCAGTGATCTTGGCTCTACCGACCCATTTCTCTCCATTCATCCGATCCTCGGCTTGGCAAATGCCGGATATGCCAGGCTCGTCATCTTTCATGTTACTCAGAATCGACAGCATAGCGAGCCGATGCTCTGAAACCCGCTTCCTTGACAGACAGACCTTAGACTGTCCATACATGGTCCAACAGACCGTACGGTCGTTCCATAACTGCCAATACTCATTTGCATTTAAGAGAGGAGGATTTTCATGAATCAAGAACGAAAACAAGGAAGAAGATGAAGACGATGCGAGAATCTTCGCTTTGTTTTTCACCTCCTTGTTATGATAAATAACGGTTCACCCACCACCATCATCATCATCCACCATCACCAAACACTTGAACACTGCAACGAGACTTTTGATGCGTCACGATATGTATGCCGTATTCAGCCGAAATCAGCAGGTTCTGGGTCCTTTTATTCTAAATCTTCCTGTTGCCGTTTTTTTATTCTCTTTTATTGTTGCCATTCTGCATGAAACATGGTTCGTTCGATCTTTTCCTCTGACCAATTGGGTTCTGGTAGATATTTAAAGGGAAATTACAACTGGCGTTCTATCAATTGAAATGGCTGGTCTTAAGTTGTGCCACTCTTTTTTTTTTTTTTTTTTATTTGAAAGTATTCGTCCTTTTCCCAAAGCGTCGAACCATTCGGGTTTCCCTCCCCGGAAGTTTGTATGTATGTCTGTCTGTATGTACATCACAAGACACGGTCAATTCGAAAGTCGTCATACTGAAGCATTGCCCTGGACTTGGTCTGGTGGCAATAAGATCCAGGCAAGACAAGAGGTGACTAATGGAGCAGGCAGCGAAGATTCATGCTCGCCGTGTTGCTTGCTTATGTTTATGTGTACGTACGTGCAACCGTGTTGTTGTACTGTCCTGCACTGGACTGCCCTGTCCTTTCTAGTTTCTGTACAGTACTCCAACTATCCTAGACTCATCGTCGTAGTGGGCACTATACAAACCTAGCCAAGTCATTCCATGGGCAACTCGACGGGTTTGTTGTGTGGAGTTGTCGGTGTGTCTTGTCTTGCCTTGCCTTGCCATACCCTCAATGGTTCATTCCTGGGCCCCGGCTAGGATTCTCAAGTGTCAATATCGCTTCGCTTCCATCCCACCTCGGTTCCGCCCTCGTCAGGGGAAAGTAGGCTAGCTATGTAGTAGTAGGGCTGGCTGGTGGCTGTACCTGACTCTACTTACTCGCTTTAGTTTGTGGAGCTGGATAGGAGGTCGACTGTCTTGTCCACGGGGGGAGCGCCTTATAGAGTTATCGGATTGTGAAATGGGAATGGGAGGAGAGCGTTTGACCACCCCGCGGCTGCCTCCCCAAGCGGGTGACTAATTATCTGCAATGCTGCTTAGGGAGGAAGAGAGGAATGGGGAAAGACCCCAGCGGGAAGGATATATGGACTCATTACCAACACCAACAAACCAAAACCAAAGGCATAGGAACTGCCATACCACACATTCGTGCAAGTACAGTATGTGGACGGTACAGATGGAGATCGTCCCCTAGGAGAGATGGCAGTCCATACTTCCGGGTAGATAGCCAGGGAAAGCAATCTACGAGCTCAGCTTAAGTGTTCGTATGGAGAATGATTCTGTATATGTAGTAAGTATAGAAGATTTCATTCGAGATACCACGTGCAAAAGACACGAAAAGGCACAAAAAGGAAAAGGAAAAGGTATCTGATGGGAAGCGGAAGTATCTTTTTCCGGCAAATAAATCGGTTTTCCATCTAGCCACTCTTCTTCTTTTCTCTTTGGTTGTCTTCTTGCTAGTATGTTCTGCAGATAGTCTGTGGGAGAAGTGTGTAGAGTGTATGTTGTAGGTAAGGTGCAAGGGTATTGGGGGGGTTTTATGTGTAGAAAGGGCAGCGCAGCAGTCGCCCCAAAAGCATTTCAAATCACAAAAACTATGGGGTGGTGGTGGTGGTTTGTTTTTGGGTTTCGCGAACTCCCTTGTCTTGTGGTTTTTTGTATTTGTTGTATAAGATATGTATAGTTGGGTGTCTGCTTTGTTTTGCACTTGACAGGGAGCTCTTTTCTGCTTTTTTTTTCTGTTGGAAAGGGACCTCTTTCCATCATCCAGCAACATCACAAAAAGAAAGCGGGCGGTCATACTAAAAAAAAGCATGGACACGATCCCGCCTGAATGAGGAAGAGAGGTCAGAGCTTGAGCCACATTAATGTTCTTTACGAGTGACAAATGCAAAGCGGGGGAATGAAGAAAAGAAGAAAAGCACAACAGCTTCGAGCCCCGCAACTGTAGAGAATCAACGATCTGCGTTGCTGAACTGGGTCTTCGAAGCGGGGGAATAGAAAGAAAACACAGTGAAATGCAAATTAATTTCAACAGCTCGCGCTTGCAATGCTAGTTATAGAAGAGGATGACAAACGAGCTAGATGCAACTTGGGGGACCCAAGAGATGGTATGCGAATCGAAAGATGGGTATGCAATTTTTTAGGCACGCAAACAAAGAAAGTGGATAGTGGAGGGGGATGAAGAAAAAATGGCAATCCTTCTCAGCAGAGTGATTGCGGTCGGATCGAGGATAGATTGTAAACCAGAGACGGCAGATATGGCACAAGGCGCAAGGCGATTTGATTCTAGGTATCGAGCGAGGTGATAATATACTATCGACGGAGATTGTTTTCAGCCAGGTCAAGTTCAGTAGCCGGTGCTGAACGACATTTGAGGCTGGAGATATTGTTGTTGGTATGTAGCCTCCTGCGCGTAGCTAGGAGCACCCGTGTATGGTACACTAGGAGAGGGGGTGGGCGACGGTGAGCAGGCGCTAGTGCCAGCTACTCCTTTGGCAAAGGTGGGATTACCACCGTTGGCGAAGACTTCGTTTTCAGGAGTAATTGGCGGTGTGATGTAGCCGTGAGCCATAGTGGATGATTGCGGGGCCTTCTGGGGCGTAGCAAGACCAATCTCTCCTTCATAGGGTTTAGACTCGGCCGGAACAACATCGGAGGGCGGGCTAGGGGGAGTGTAGCTCGCGACGGAGGCCTGGCGGGCAAGGAATTGCTCCAGGATCTTCGACACCCGCGAGTAGTGGGCCGACGAATATTTCCGGGAGAGCACCTGCGAGGGCTGGTGTAATTGTTGTGACAATCCCACTAGTGTCATAGAGTCGTATTGAGAAGCCCACTCAGTGTGACGAGGCTGAGTTCGGTTCAGGATGCACCGTGCAAGAGCCAAGGAGGCTCTGGCTAGATCGGACGAAGGCTTGGAGACAAATTCCCGATGGAACAGGGAGATTTCCGCGATGTATAGAGACAGGTGCTCAACCTCGGCATCATAAGGGCAATCCATGACAGCCATCTGCAGGAAGTTGTCGACTGTGGGATGACCGATGGTCCAGCCCAAAGTCTGCAGCACATGCCACTCCATCTGGATGAACATGTCATCATCGTAAAGCGAGCAACACATTGACTTGAGCTCCTTAATGGTCGGAACACGATCCTTCTTGTCACCATACTTGGCAGCAATGAGTAGAGCCGCACACCCGACCAATTGGTAGTGTCTCTTGTAGACGACACGTTTCGAACAGTATCGGTCGAGCAAGTTGATGGTCAGGAAGAGAGTAGACGACAGCAGCTGAAAGGCGGTATGGGCTTCAATCAGGAAATCGAGCAGGTAGGGACGCATGAACCATTGAATCTCGGTTTGGATGTCGATCGACTCAACGTCAGGGAGGGTGGCGGTCTGTTAAAGGTCGAGATTAGCCACAATCGTTTCGCAACCAGTCAAGTGACAACTAACATCCATGTCCAGCATGTGCGCCAGAATGTCATCACGGAACTCTTCGCTAGTGATCTTGGAAAGTTCATCCGCAATGGCATACTGACGCTCACGGGCAATCAGTCTCGCATGCTCCTTTGGTTCCAGACGAGGGGCCGGGAAGTCGTCATACGACTCCACAAAGAAGGTATCGCAAGGCTGATAGCTAGAGGCAGGACGCTTTTGATAGGCCATGTTGTCGGACTGGTGGTGATGATAACGATCCGGGTGATTAGTGTAAAGAGTGGATCTGATAGAGGATCTTGTCTATCAGGGAACGACGGAGTTCAGAGAGTGACAGTCGCTGGATTAGGTGTGGGGATTAATGAACGGAATTAGTTGGAATTATTAGAAAGTGTCCAGTAAGATGACGATAGTCCGAGCACTGGAAAGGGAAAGGATAGCCAGATAGCTGGTGGAAAGCCTTTTTTGAGCGGCCGGAGCTAGATTAAGATAAAATTAGTATACGTGATATTAAGATTAGAAAAGAGAGATAATGAAAAAAGAACGACGAGAGGGTGAAAAAGAGCGTGTGATGCAAGAAAAAGAGAAGGTAAAAGGAAATATAAGATGTTAAAGAAAGGCTTGTAGTTGGGAAAGGAAGGCCCAAGGAGGGAAGAAGAGAGAGGAAGGTCCAGGGTGAAAAGGGGGACTCCTTGGGGATAAAAAGGTACTAACCCAGATAGAAGGCCTTCGGGCAGAGGGCACGATGCAACCCTTACCGTGACGGCGTGTCTGGCATCTAGGCAGGGCCAAGACGCAAGAATGACCCGACGAGATGAACTCTGGAGGATACCAATCCAAAAGACGAAGTGCGACTGAACGCCTTCGCCCTAGGAACCGGTTCTTGGACTGGCAAGCCTATGGGCACTCCGGAATGTGGAAACAGGAGTACAGGCACGAACCCTGTGAAGGGGTGGGGAGATCGTCAGGGGGGGAATCGAGGTGCAATGAGAATGATCACAACGTACAGTCGGCAATCCAGTATCCTTTCGAACGTTCTTGTGCAGGACAGGAATGAAGTTGTGAGATGCGAAAGCGCTAGAAAGCCAAAATCCACATTGAAAGGAGTGAGGCTATATCGAGGCCAAAAGCGAAAAATTAATCAAGAAAACGACAATTGGTTCCTAGCAAGGAGAAGGTAACAAGTTAGCCGTCAGATTCAAACAATGCCTTTGATTGCTTCTTGTGATTGCGATGTGGAATTGCAGTGATAAGGTTGCTTGGATATCTCGGCGTCGTCGAAGGCTTGAGATCGTCCCCTCCAGGTATGCGGGAAAGGGCCTATACATTCCCACGCAAGCACATGAGCAACCCTTAAATTTGGACCCGAGTTGATAGACAAACTCGTTTCTCTTCCTGCCAGCATCTTTCCTGCCAGCATCAAGTTGAATTGACTGAATTCCACTCCGAGAGAGAGCAACTCTGGTCCTTCAACCTCTGCAGCACGGCTCTCATGTCTTAACTAAACGACCAATTGTCCTCCACCCTCTATCAAGACACAGTTCATCTCTCCAATTCACTCAACCCAGTCTTCTATAGTATCGAGGAGACGCATGTGTAAGGGGTATGATCAAGCCTGGACCGTCCAGTGCTCAAGGAATCGAAACGTGACACTTTCGAAGATCCGCTTGTGCGGGCAATTGCTGTTTTGACACGAACCGACTTCAAGAGGTGCTGACAGTGCACTGGCAGGAAGATCTCGCCGTACTGCCAATGGATTGAGACCACAATCCGTTCGAGCATTCACCAGTGGGCTGCCATCGGATGCAATCGCAGCCATGACAATCGCATGAGGGGGGTTTGAGAGAGGGAAGAAGGAAAATTTCGACGCCTTACCTTTCAGGAAATCACAACCAAAATAGAAGCATGTACACACAAAGCTTTCGGATAAAAGAACAGAAAAGAACCCTTCTCTTCGCTCTTCTAGCCGGCAGGAGCTGAAATCAGGGGGATCCAACGGTCGATGTCACGGGGGTAGGCACCGGATGTCAGATGTGGGGGGAGGGGGGAGGAATTCGCCGTTTGAGTTAACAAACGTCGAAAGAGGACGTCGAAGCAGGAGCTGACGGACACGGCTCGACTGGAGAGCTGGTGCAACGGGCGACAGATGAAGTTGACTGTTATAGTGCAGTCAACCGGATCTTGGACCTGGGGACCAGTCTCAGATCTCTCCAAATGAATTGACGGAGATGGCAGGAAAAGGGGCGGCGGAGGAAGAGGAGGGAGGAAGAAGAAAGGAAGGGAGGAGAGGTGAAGATAAGAAGAATGAGGAGGAGAGGAAAGTGAGGAGGAACTGCTCTCTCTCTCTCCAGACGGGTGTAGTAAAAAGAAAAGAAAAGAGAAGAACGAGAAGAGATGGGACGAGTGGCCCGGAGATAGAAGTCTCTCGAGAGAGGATCGCTGCAGGTTAGCTTGCCCATGATGTATGGTAAATCATGACGCTTTCCACGTATCGACCGTGGTAATTGGTACCGTGTCCCGAGGTCCCGGAAGTTACTACTATGAAAGAGTGGGTTACGGGCGGGCTGCTTGAGGTACCCGTACAGTATGTCCTGTATTTTCGGTATGTACGTACAGAATGTATGGATAGACCAGTTCTGGTTTCATCTGGTTTCAACAATACCTCTTCCTTACCGCCGCCGGGCACAGTTGAAGGTTGGCTGTGGACTGGGCTGGGCTGGCTGGACTGGCTGGCTGGCCTTGGTTTTTACTCTTGCCATGGAAATGTCAATCCTTGTAATTCATACTTGACCCAAGAATTGTGGTATTTGTATGTACAGTATGCACAGTACATTTGGTTTGTTGCAAATTGCTGGTTATACTGAAGTGAATGGTCCCCCTCCCCATTCCCTTCCTTTTGGCCTTCAGTATCAAATTGACCAAATGCTTCGCGTTTTCTGTGAAACGTATGGCGCAAGTAGAATTTCCATCCAGATCCAACCAGTAGTGTATTTGTGGAACAGGCCTGACATAAGGAGGTCGGTTGAGGGGGGGGGGGGGGGGGCGGGCGCTGCTGTAGTCGCTGCAGCAAATTACTGGATCATACCAAAAGGTTGGTCAAACCGGAACCCTCATATGCAGATACTATAGTCTAGTGGTTAGCCGGTCTAGGTAGGACGTCTCAGGGCAATTCTCTCCTACTCCTTCAATGCGGCCTGAGCCACAAGGAAGTTAGCATTAACCCTTACTGTATGAGTGAAAGTCAAATACCTTGTCTGTCTGTCTGCTGCCTGTCTCTTCCTGTCTCTGCCTGTTCTCTGGAGTGAACACGGTAAAGTACCGTCCGTCGCGTAAGGGTGCTCCGTCCGGGTCGAGTTCTTGTTAGCCCCGAGCCAGCCTTGGTCCATGAGGGGTAGACTACTTCGTAGTCGATACTTAGTCGGTAGCTACTACTGTGCATTCATTATTCTTTGGCTGCTTTTGCTCCCTATTGACCGACCGATTCAATGATAAGCATGCAATTGCATGTCTTTCTGACGTTGCCATGCAAGCTGAGAAGTGTAGGGTTTACTTCCTTTGCTGTGCAGTCGGTACCAGGGGATTGATTTGTCTTTGTTCACTTATACTGGGTAGTCTGAATGTATAGAGAGAAGATGATGATACAACACATGATCTGTCTGTGATAGCGGCTTCTAGACTGCACTTACGCGCTCCCATTCTTTTGCCTCCCCAGAATGACCACACCATCACTAAAGGCAGCCTAAGCCTACGCCTACTATCGTTTACTATAAGCCTAATTAAGCCTGCAACACCAACCAGTCCTTAACTCCCCTTCCCCCTCCCCAGCACCCGCGCTCCCTTGGGACTTGGGTGGATTGGTGGGTGGGGTGATCTCCGTGCTCACCAGCCAGTCTTCGCCAGCCATTGCCCTCCCTGATTCACGCCAGGAACACCTCCGGTCCTTGGCCCCGGCTGCTCTTCTCCCTTCGTGGCCTCTCATCTTGATGCTCCAACCGGTCTTAATGACCAAATCCTTCTTACAGTAGACCTGCCTTGAAACCCATGTCAGATGTCGAGACATATTAGTTTTTCGAATGATGAAGCAGGTTTAGAGAAATTTTGCGCTACCAGCATCTGCAAAAGAATCACAGTTCTCCCTTGAGAGCGGTCTACCATATGCGACACACGCATTGTCTATTATATGATAGCCGCGCCCTCTATGACTTGACTATTGATGTGATTTCTCTCTCCCCTCACTGAATAATCGACCGACTTTCCCCTATCGATCTATTCTCTTTCCTCCCCCAACCCAGTAGTACATATGTATATCATAACTTCATAAGAACGTAATGCCATTTGACGACCGCCCGGCTTACCCACAATGCGGAGTAGCCGACTGATTTTTTTTTCCCTTCATTTTTTTTTCTTGCACCCTCTTTTCAGCTACTTACTGCCCCCGTAATGTAGCATTTCACTTCGGTATGGTCCCATTGTCAGTACATACAGTAATGGAAGAAGCCTGCTCCATACAACGCATACCAAAATCAATCCATGCGGTCGCGTCCCAGAGAAGGACGGGAAGAACTTCTCACTGTTACCTGACGCCGTCATCGACTACCAATTTCTTTTGACTGGCACAAAAGCCAGACACGACCCTACCGGTAGATCTCAGTATAACGTGTCGTGTCGTGTGTTTTCCTCTACGGTTCATTCTTGACCAGTCGAGTCGTCATTGCTCTCACCCCCACCTCTCTCTCTCTTTCAGTCTTTCAGAAGCCTATCGATGTCCATCGACAACCATCGGCCGCTTGTGTTCTCGACCACATTATTTTCCAATTGATGTCTTTGTTTTATGATGAGCAACGAGGATGGATGAGGGGAGAAAATTACCGGATCCCGAGACATATGGAAAGGGAAAAAACATCACGAGCGAAAGAACTGGTGTAGATTCTTTGATTTTTTGCCCAATGAACCATAAAGAGGAGACCTTCGGGATTGACAAGAAATAAAGTGCATGCGCGCGGGCACAAACCAGGCGTAGTATGAAACTATCTTCAGTACCGTTTGTATGAGTTCGTTGGATCAGAATCCATGTCATCATCACTGTTAGTTATCATCACCACCACCTCCTCCTCCTCCTCCTCCTCCTCCTCCATGGACACATATTACTCCTTCCGTATTCTGATTCATTGTTATTTCAGTAGAGCAGGCAATTAAAACTGTACAACTTTCATTTCCCTTCTTTTTGTTCTTCTTGAGGGGTTATGCTTTCCCATCGATTCTTCTTCGATTGCCCGGGGGCCTGTCCGTTTCCCTACCAAGGGAACAATCCCGGTGTCTCATGGATAGGTCTAATAGCCCATTAAAGCTACAGTAACCTACCATAGAACATTCACATCATCCTCCGGTCGCTGAGGCTGGTTGCTTCGACATTAAGAAATTCCCCCAAAGCTACACGATCCCCACACCCTCCCCCCGATTTACTACACTTCGGATTATTTGGAAGCGATTCCAACTTCCACATCAAGTTATATCAACTTTCACCCCGGAACAATGACCAGCATATAATCAGTGGCTACAGAGTACTACGTCCCACGATTTTGCCCCTCCCCTCCCTCCCTCTATTGTTCAACCCCGTATAGATATGGGCTCCAGTGGCAAGGCACCGACACGTTGAATCTAGGTCAACCGAGACCGCTGGTCACGAAGATGATCCTCGCAACCCCAGCCACGGGTACATCCCAAAGAGAAGCAAGGGAGAAGAACTTACTCTCCCCATCAACTGTGGTGAGCTGGGCTGTTCGTACCATGGGGCATGGGGCAATCTTTTTGGCTCCCTTTGGTGCCTTGCTGAATAGCCTCGAGTGCACGCGAGGTATACCCCCAATAGATGTAGGCAATGCTCGCCACAGAGTATACTCTATCGTCTTGATTTCCTTGGCCAAATAGCTCTTTCTCTCGAGCTTTGTCTCTGGAAAGCTGTAAATTCAGCTTCCCCAACCAACACCAAGCCAACCCAAACCTGCGATGTCTTTGGCGGCCAGTGGCTGACAATGTGGCTGGTGGTGGACTACTTACCCTTGGTCCCCTGCCTATAACATAAGCTCTAATTGACTTGCATCCAGGGAAGTGGATATCAGATCGGATGTGACTGCCAATCTCTTTCAGCGACTCGAGCACAGCCACTCGAGGCTGACGCGGGATTGGGGAGGGGGGCATCTCAGCCGATAAAAAGACAGAAGTCACCATCGCATCACTGCATGCTTTCCTTACTTAGCTACTACGGTAACCCACGTAATGTATCCTCTTGAGTCGTGCCTGTTGGCATTTCTGAAGAACATGTGCAGCATACACCGTTGTGTGCGTGGTAGCTAGCCGCCATGTTCTCCCACTCGACCCGGTGCTCTCCCATGGGGACAAGGGGAAGTGGGAAGCGGGGGAGCATGGGAATGCTAAACATAGAAACACCACCTTCTGCTTGTCGCTGTCCCTCAGACGCCCACAATTCATCTCGGTACCTACGGAGATTAGACAGTCGGTGCTCCATATTGATGCATTATTATTTTATTGACTCTCGTGTACGGGTAGATGATTAGAGGATCGGCCCATCACAATCTAAATTCTAGAACACTTTCGCCTTCCAGATTTTAATGTATGTATCGTCAGGGGTAAAAGGGCGGCTGATTTCAATAGCGCGGAGCTTCGGTGTCCGTTCCCAGCAGGTTGAACAGTTTACACGTAGTCGATCGTGGAAATGACTGCCCTTCATTGGTAAAGAAGTCAATCTACTGCTTGCACATTGGCCAGTCTAATCTGTTGGGGAGTTATGAAAAGCGTACGGGAAATTATCAATCCTATCGCTCTGATATAGTACCGGCAGACCTAATGGAATAGGGGCGCCGGCCGGTTAGCCGCTTTCTCGACGAATAATCCAGCATCGCGGCAAACGATGGGTCAAGCGGATCAGAAATCCGACAGATCCCGGTGGAAAGGAGGACAAAAGGTACGATCCACCGTGAGGAACCTGACATGCATGTTGTTGGATACTCTCACGTCTTTATCAACTTTTATGCAAGGGTATACCTGCCGCTTGCAAATCACTAGACTAACCGCGGATGTAGGAATGACGCGGTGCTCTTCTCTGGCAGCATGCTGCCTGAGCCTTTCGAGGACCAAGAACCTCAAAGAGACTGACAAACCCGACTAAGATCTCAAGATGTAGCGCGCGCGAGAGAGAACCCTCAGTCTGCGACCAAATCGCAGGATTTATAGATCCAATCAAAGGTGAATATAAGCGCGCGCTCCTTGCTGGGTACCTGCAGCGTACTGCCCTCAGTTCAATCTACAACCGCCTCGTCTCTCGATTAAAGCACCTTCATCCTGGGTGAACTCGCAGATAACACGCATTCTTGAGGCTGGAGAGATAGGGATCCCTGGTCCCTCTGTACTGCAACATTTGAGCATATCGTTGGAACACCGTGATCGCCAGGCCAACCAACCAACCGAACGGATTGTTAACCACACCCCTCCCTCGTCTTCTCCCATGATTCGGCTTTGTGTAACCGTTCATACCAACATCACAAACACAATAATCCATCGCCTACGCAAGGGCCATATTCCTAGGGACAACTTTTATTTTCGGATCGCTTCAAGTTGATCCGAAATCCAATTTGTATACGCGTCCCCAAACCAGAAGCGCTAGAGGTTATGGTGGTAGTGGTGGCGGGCTATTCTTACCTCATGCTCTTGAGTTTACCGATTGTACGGAGTACAGTATTGTATATGTGGTTTCTTCTTGCTTGCTTGCTTGCTCCACCAACGAGCGTCTTATAGGGAAGAGGGGGTGAGGGGGGAAGCGGGTGGACGTCCTGTGCATGAAGTAGCTAAAAGCATGCGCAGTGAGTGGTGCGTAAGGTTTTGCCTGACATATCAATCTTTGATTATTTTATCGGGAGAAAACTGTTGTCCAGTACATCCTAAGTTTGAGTAAACAGAAACTAATACCGTACACACACATATTGAATAGTGCCCTCACTTCAATCTCCGGTTGTATCTCCCTTTCGTTTCTTGTTCTCTATCCCCCCCCTACAAGAGCCGTCAAAAGCCTTCGAATGTCATGCCATTTCCTCCCCGGCCCATGACTTTCTACCTCGTTCGAAGTATTCTGGGTATAGTTCTAGTATTGGTGAATTTTCAAGCTTTTAGTGTCCTGTACCATCTGAACACACCGCATTCGGCTCCATGAAATTTTACCAGCCCACTGCGGATCATGCGAACGATTTTTTTTACCTCTGTCCAAACTGGATCTTGGGAACCAGGATTCATTTCTCAATTGAGGTCCGGTTTAGTCCCTCTGGTAAAAAAAAAAAGCACAAAAAACTTTCCTCGACATGGATCTTATTGTCTGAGCATCACTGTCATGATCCATCGGGAAGCACTACTGATGAACAAGCACATCACATGAAAAGTACAGTACTTTGTCGACGAGCACTGCGAAATCCTTTCCAGGCTCTACCAGAGAAAGAAAAGGCTGTTTTTTTCTGCTAGCCCCGCAGTTCCGACGGAGTGGGATCCACCCTTTCGAAAAACCGGCCTTCAGTAAAGGACCCAAAGTGGGCGTTTGGTCGGGGAATACACACACACACACACACACAGACAAAATAGCGGTAGCCCGGGAGGCAAACGGTTACGGTGAATGATAGAAGTGGGCCAGATGAAGCAGAGAAGTAAAAAAAAAAGTTGAGGGCCAAGAACGAGGTTGAGAGAAAAAAAAAAAAAAAAAAAAAAAAAGCATAGAAGATGGGGAAACCTGGTGAACGCGTCAGGTAAAGCCCGTTTGAATTGGGAAATATTCTGGAAGGTTCACAGAACATTCAGTTTTCGATGTATAGCAACCGCGGCTAGTCTGTATCACATTAGACTGCGCGGTCTACGTGATTTGATACATAATCGCTGGTTGATCTTCATATTCTTTTGGTTGTTCGATGGCTCAACAGAGGGTTTGTGATGGATTTAAAGACTACAATTAAGTCTTACCTAGGCGGTAAGGAAGTTCCTTCGCGAATAGCTGATGAGCACATGTACGCTGTGAACGAGTTTAGTCTATTAATCGTTCTTTCCAGCGTATCTATCACATACGATTGAGCCCTTACTTTGCCTCAACCTACTTCGTACCAGTACTATGGTACCGTCACTCGCCGACGATCCACCCGGCCGGCCGATTTTACCTAGTTATTCCTTAAGCCAGAATGCAGTTTGTGGTGGTGGACGATACATGGGATGTTCGATGGTTTCTCTTTGCTGAGCTTCATTCTTTGGCGTCTTGATTTCGTCATAGAGTCCACTTCTTCTTTGCCTCCAACATCATGGGGCTGTGAGAAAGGTAACAATTACCTGCACACAACGCAAACATATGATCCAGACATCGCAAGAATGAATTGCCTGAGGTACTGTGCCTAATCTTCACGGGTGGAATTGATATTCACGTTTGCCATGGAGCCATTGATCGCATTGACGAATCGAGATCTTGCTAATTGGGATGGAAATCCCCGGGCAACCGGTGACGCGAAATCCTACACACGCCCATCGAGGCCCGAGACAATATGACTATTTCTGGTTAGATTGGTTCGCGGCGAGTGAAGCAGCGGAGAGCCTCAACCATGGGCAGATTGGCCCTGCTCTTTCGCGAGTAGTCCTGTCGTTCTGACAGCCAGTCGGG